TAATTCCTCAGAATTTAGAGGTATTTAGAAAGTTAGTGAATGAAGTACGGCGAATTGCTGACCAGTTAAACTTATGATTTGCGCTTCTGTGGGTTGCTCGACCACTTATTCAGTGCTTGATCTAGCCTGGGGATTTTAGCCCTACAAGATCGGAGAATGAGCATCTGGCTGCTCTCAGCTAAGGCTGGAAACTTCTAATACTATTTTGAGTTTTAACAATGAAAATTGATTTAAATGAGCCTTATAAAATTTGAATCTGCGCTCTTTTTAAGCCACTTTGTAAGTAGTTAGCTGCTACACCACCGGGTCAAATTATAGAGATTTAGAAGTTGAAAGGTAGATATCTATCTCATCATTGTAGAGATTAATCAGAGTAATACAGCTTCAAAAATAAAAGTGAAAAGATTTCTCGCTATATTATAATAATTCATTAATATAATAAAATAAATTTCTATTACAAGATTTAGTTAATGAATTTTTAATTGAGTTTAGTGACAAACTTATTGAATATTGAAAATAGAATTTAAAAATAAATTAAAAATTTACTGATTTTGAGTTAATTCTTTGATAATTGAATAAAAATTTAACAATTAATTGAACTTTTTATTAATATATAATATAACTAATTTATATTAAAGAATATTTTATATAACTTTTATTCATTTCTTTTATTAACAAATTTATTAATTCATCTCTTATAACATACACATAAATATGAATATTTTTATCTTCTTAATATTTACTTTTAATACTGTACTTTGTACAGTAACAGCAGTAAGTAATAAAATATATTTTTACATTCTTTTAAACTAAGATTTTATCAAATATAATATTTAAAAATCATAATTAACTAATATTGAAAATAATATTGATGATTTTATTCAGAGTAGACATTCAATTCAGCATCATATTCCATCTATTAATAAACTGGCTGAGTTTCGAAAAATCACCGTCAATTTAAAGAACAATCAATTTGACAAATCTATCTTCTCTAGATTTGAGTTCTGTACTACTATTCCATGTCACACAAATATAGAATGTAGAACAAATCCATTTGTTCCTGAGAACTGCATTTTTTGTGTTTCGCTTCCAGGATCACAGCCACAGGTTAGATACTGTGACGACTTTTAGCCAATTATTAAACGCGGACACATATCTATTATGCTTATGTTATTATATAAGAGGTGCTATTAAAAGTATTGCGCTGCTCAGATTCAATTTATACAGCTAAAAAGCGCCACTGCGTTTTAATATAATAGGGTGTTAAAATATGTATATAGCTCAAGATGTAAACTGCAGAGGTTTGTCTTGTAGCTTTTATTAAGTTTATTTCTTTTGTTTTAATATTTATTATATTCTTAGTTATTATTAGTTTTCATTTGCTTTGAAAAGTTTGATTTATTATTTGTTGATATTATAGTTATTAAAGTACTTCTTACTCTTTTCTTCTAATAGTTGTTGTTTTTACAATTTTTTTTTCATTTATTTTGAGTTGAATTATGCTGACTGATTGTTATTCTCTTGATATCATTTTTCTTGATTGAATATTTTGAATAGTTGTTTGATTTTGAGCTGGAATTCTGTTAATACACGTACCAAATTTTTTTTGTATATCAGATAATTCTTGATTTGAAAAATCCGGAAATATTTCAAATAGATGTTATAGTCACTGACTGCATACATTTATAAATGAAGAATAATAATAATAATTTTCATCAACTGATTATTACTGACACTACTGGTATTATTGACACTACTGATACTATTATATTCTATATTGTATTCTATCAGCTGCTCTATCTTCAACTTTTTAAATTCTCAAATTTTCTATCTATCTACCCAATCAAATTCAGTGTAAGTAGCGGTGCTGGAACTGGCTGCTTATATCACAAGAGGTCCTTAAGACTCTACAAGGATTAAGTTATAGGAGATAATACGGTGATATATCGGAGAGGATTCAGATTGAATGGTTAGATATTTGAGGTCGTAGAACGTAGGGGTCAGATTATATCAGAATGATCCGCTGGCCCCTAGAAGATTAGGCCGGCTGCTAGCTATATACACGCAGTATCATTGGCAGATCGAACTTAATACGATGTAGATGACGTTGTATGATGCAAGCGGCATGATAATGCCTTGATTTCCAACTCGATATGACGTTGCTATGTTCGGTGATGTCATATCTTTAGGCCAATTACCAATTCCGGCCTACCACTGGCACCTTAGTGCGGGTTTCTTACATTCAGATCTAAATCATCATCAAATTTCTCAATCAGAATTTCAAGCTTGTGTCCGATATCAGTACAAAAGAAAGAGAACAGAGCAGAATAAAGGTAAAGCTTTAAGATTAAGATATGATTGTGCTGCATATAATAATATTTCTCTCTGTTTGTGTGATAAGATAGTACTATGACCACTAGGTTTTACATAGCAAAAAGCCAACATAACCATTTGTTAAATGGTTGCGCTCATAGTGATATAGATACCCGTGGGTGTGGTGGTGTGGCCCGCCAGCCGCAGCCAGCTGGGGAACCACATTTAAAAAGTCAGTGTTGGCAGGAGTTTCGTTCCATTGATTAATTAGAATTGGATCAAATAGATTATATAAATTACACTAAAATATATCAATACAGTCAATCTCTTAGATAGTTCAGTAGTTTTTATGTATTTAATACACTAAGATACACACTAAAAAATTACACTGATTGTGCCTCACCCTCAGATGAGGAGATAGATGATCTACTCTGATATAACCCTTAATTTTCGTTAGAGTTACCCTAATATTTTAGTATCACAATATTGAATAGTTGTTATGATTTTTTCGCGTTTCAATTTATATGAGTTCTTGATGATTCATAATTGAATTTTTGAAGCACTGAAAATTGAAAATCTATACTATATATATAGTATATATTTCATCTCTCTGATTGCATAATTATGTATAAAATCATGATCAACTTTTTTATCAATCTCATTCTCAAATATATTTAGACTGGTTATATACTTATATATGAAACTATTTTCATTTTTAAATATTTTAGTTCAAATCTTAAATATTGTTTAATTGTACTATCATTTTACACTATTATAATTCTGATTCTATTTTATCATTTACAATAAAAATTTAACTTTAAATACTACTTTTATTTTAGTTGCAAATTGCACTAACTTTAAACCAACATTTTAACTATTAAATAAGAATATAATAAATAGTATTAATATAGTAAACACTGAACAGACATTTCTATTAATTTTCTATTAATTATTATTTCATATTACTCTTATTTATTATTCCTTTTTTATCAACAAACTTATTAAAATATCTATTATATTATATATATCAATAAATATGAATATTTTTATTTTATTATTATTCACTTTTAATACTGTTTTTTGCACAGTATTATCAGTAAGTAACAAAATATATTTTTATATCATTTTTTAAATTAGTATTCTATTAAATAGTATCTTTTAAAACAACAGCTAACTATTAACAAAAATAATACTGATTATTTTATTCAGAGTGAACTCTCATTTCAGCATCATATTCCATCTGAATTAACTCATTCTCGGAAAGTTACTGTTAATCAAAAGCGGAATCAGTTTAACCGTTCTATTTTTTCCAGATATGATTTCTGTTCTACCCAACCATGTCAATCGCATGCAGACTGTAATAGACCAGGTGCTCCTCCTGAATGTCCTGCTTGTGTGACTGTTCCAGGATCACCATTATTTGTTAGAATCTGTGACTACTGATAGCTTAGTATTATTGAGCTTTATTACTTATAATAGCGTAATATGGTATAATATATAAAATACTTATAGCATTATATAAGAGTTAAAAAGATTAATGATTAGTTTTAAATAAAAAAGATTCCTATCTATTTTTATAATATTATTATAAATGTAAGCTTATAAAAATAGATTTTTCAATTTATCTTTTTAAAATTAATAATACAATAATATGTTCATTATTATACGTAGAAGAATTGTAATGAAAAGCTGTAAAAACAGGCTTGAGCAAGTGAGATAACTACTACAGCTTAGAAGATTGAGAGATAAATAGAAATACTCAGTTTATTAGATGAATTATTTAAAAGATTTTATATAACTTAAATTTGATTCTATTAAGAACAAATCATTAACTTTTCAAATAAAAAATCAGATTATTAGTTAAGAAAAATTACTAAATGCATCAATATTTTGTTGTTATATTCATAGTAATTAATAGAAAGAGATTTGTACACTGTTTAGTGATTCTTTATATATCATGATATAATTATGTATTCTACGATTTTACTTGCCTTGTAAAAGTGTGCTACAGGGTAATAGGAAATGATGAGAATAACAACAAATAAACACGTCAATAGGTAGCCATCTCTTATATTCAAAGCTAATCGCTGATCTCCTAGGACCTACGGATATCAGCGAGCATTATGTACGCCCCTAGATCACGTTGCCACTATCTTGCCACTTCCATCGATTTCTATTATATTTGAGCACCCGGAGTTCTGCTTCTAAATATAGATATCTCCGTAATTCCCTATTACATTCATATGTTTTATATTTTAGATGAACACAACAATCTTCACTATTGTATTATTCTACAATTTATATAATCTGACCCCTACATTCTACTGCCTTGATATCTGGTCTTTCTATCCGAATCCATTCCGATATAGCACAGTATTACCTTACATAGATTTATCCTCCGGCCGAAACTTTTGAACCACGCTCAGCTTTTTTGAAGTATCTGTCCGTGGCAACAGAAATTCGTGCCTAGTAGCAATGCAACCACATGTTCAAAGTGCCCATATGGCGATGCGCTTTATGAAAATCAGGTAGCTGGAAGTGGCGAAGCAGCAGGAGCAGAAAATACCGGTCTCAGTAAAGGTGTCAGGCGGGAAACAACAGATGAGGATGAGAATGAAGTGCATGGTATATGTGGCCAAAGAGATGCCTTTCATCAGATAGTATTCCCCTTTTCAGGATTCCACATCATGTCACATCGAGTTTTCGTGATTGGGGGCCCAGGTCACGAGATCGAAGCTCCATGCGGCAAGGGGTGTGTAGTGGCCTGTGCTAACATGGTCGAAAGCACTGTCAGACAGCTTGGTTCAGGCTGTGGGAGCGGCTTTGGTCATTCTGAATGGATGGGGAAATGAGGGCTAAGGTTAGGTATGTGGGGATGGCGTTGCAAGCCTGCCGATTAGGCATGGAGTGGAAGAGTTTCCGCCTCGTGCTCCCGCATCATCAAGCATGACAGCCAGCCCGTCGCCAGTCTTTTTTTGTCAAGTGCAGTTGTTAGGACGGGGGACCCACTGCGCGCCGCAGGCTGATGCCCAAGGCGTTGCGCATTCCTACATGGACCATACAGGCATGGTACATGCTTCGTCGATCACGTATGTACGGCGTAGTCGGCCTGGGAGTTCGTAACCGCTGGGTGTGAGCATGGTCATTGTCGAAGAGCGCTGGCATACAAAAACATCCCTTATCTGCGAAAGCGGGGCAGGTCTCAGTCTCCGAAAGCCAGTCACATGTATGTAGCATTAAGGTACTAGGAAGAGCATCGAATCAAGGAACAGCCCCGATGTGCATTGTGATGGCTCGAATAGCCGGTCAACCCTCTTGAATGGACAATTTCCCAAAAGGGCTGTTGGGAAAAGCATATTGACAACCCCGTTGAGATAAACATTTCGTCTCTCCCTGACGAAGAGTTGACACAAATTATCCTTCGCCTTCTGCCCTTAGCTCCACGCGCACTCGTCATCAATGTTTCGTTTCATAAGGCCACAGCTCAATGATCCCCATCCACACGTGGGGCGTCGGATGGATGCGTCTGTGCCCGCCAATCACTTTCCTCAGTCCTTTTCCGCCCGTTCAAAGATGAAACTCAAAAGTCAAGAGTGAGGACGGTAGAATGCGAATGAGCGCCAAGCGAAGAATATCAGATGCGTGATATTGGCAGCTGGCAAACTGCTAGGATCTCAACATCATGTCCCAGTGATTGCCGATCTGGTGAAGTTGCTGCACATCCCCCGTTGAGCTTACTAGCTCTTGAAGACGGGACGAGATAGGGCAGCGGAAGAGGGCAAGATCTCTTTATGTGTTTGTCAATTAGAGTTGAGCTTGGCCGCGGCCAATTCGAATCCCCCCAGTCATTCCGGATTAGATGGCGTCCGCCTGGCGCAAGAGACAATATATGGTCCCATCAGACCAAGGCTATCATTGCTCCAAGAATGCGGAATGTAAACCTGGAAGCATGTAGGCGGGATGGAATAGCACTGCTCTGCTTTCTGGGCACACATGACCGGCTGGCTTCCAAGGTTGGGTTGACTTTCATTCAGGGGCAGCTTGAGAAGTGAAAGAACTTGTTGTTATGTTTTGTTGTGCAGCACTCCACCCATCGATGGCCTTATTGAAGCTGAGGAGCAGAAGAATCAATCATGAAGGTCACTAGCGTTCCCAGTAGAATATTGGAGGGAATTATTTGATGAAATGAATTCCCCCCCTGTTTCTTTCATAATTTGTGATTAGATAACCTGTTAATCAACGAGGCTTGGGCGGAGTTGAGAGATAAGGGTCAAGAAACAAAGGTGTCATAGATATAGCATTTGATTGTCAATGTTTCAGAGAAAGTTCGGTTTTCTGAATGGAATTAAATTTTTATTTTATTTTTAACATTCAAAATTAGCTGTTATGGAGCTGTAATCAGGATATGAAATAGAGGAAAGCTATTTCATGCTCGCTGTTGCCGTTCATCAATCATACTACAACTTCAACAGGATACATTTACTACATGAAAGAATATTCAAGCAAGTAGAAAGAAAAGAACAAATTTGAAATAGAAAAAGTTTTTGTAAATACAGCAAACACCTTTACATATAAACCACAGACAATAAATACATTTTATATCAGGTGAAAGGAGATCGTTCACCAAACATTGAAGGCCACCTATCAAAAAGCTAAAGAATATATATTATAAATATATATATCCTTGGATATACTATAGATGTATAGAAACGGCGGGGAAACAAAGAAATTCAGAAATCCAAAACTAGAACCCAAATAGTCCAAAGAATCCGAAGAGATTTTGTTCCACCATTTTTCCATTTTTTTTCTCAGTTAATTTATTCATCTGGCTTGGGTTGCTTTCTTTGTTACTGGCCCTTATAGCGACTATCAAATGTGCCTCAACCTAAGGTCAAGAGAAGAAGAAAAGGATGAGAAGGGATGGGATGGTATGGGATGTGATGTTAAAACATGGATTTTTAGCATATAAAGGTTAAAAATAAAAAGTATGTAAAAAAGAGCCAGCCAAAAATCGATATATATAGCTGTAATAATAAATAATATAGTAATAATAAAATATGTAAATAATAAGTAAAGTAATTGGAAAATAGACACGGAAAAAAAAAAAAAAATCACGCATCGAAGCGTTATCAGGCATGGGGCCTATTTGGAAGTGTATATGGATAGGAAGATAAAAAATTCGAAATTTAAAATCGTAGAGAGGAAAATCAAGTTGAAATCAGACGGAATGTGGACTTGGAAAATAATAACAATGGGATGTGAGTTGACTACGGGGCTTTTGATATCGACGGAGGAGAGGAGTTGCGGTTTTGTGATCAGGCGAGCGAGGAGAAATCGACGACGTGAGGAGGAATAAGAAATGAAAAATATAATCACATAAATAAACACCCCAACCGATCCAGAGCAAATGAATATAGACAGTGGTGGAAAGGGATCAAGGCGATTGAACGAAAGACGTAAGCTAAGACTCAAGCAAACTAAAATGCAGCAGAGCACAGACACAAAAGCCGAAGCCCAGAGCCAACGACTGAGACAGGTGCATGAGACAAGGACCATCGTAAAATTTCCAAGAGTCGGTGAATATAAAAAAGGCACGACAGAAAGAGACAACAGAACAGAGAAGGATATTGGCTAGGTGGATGAAAAACTGGAAAGAAAGAGGGGAAAGCAACAACAAAATAAAATAAAGGGGAAATGGAAGAGATACGAAATTGTCACAATTCCCCAAGGGCATTGATAAACGGTCGAACCTCAAGAGGAGAGGGCATAAACATGTAGTAGGTTGAAGGCAAGCGAGACATTCTTAGAGCCGAACTGGTAGGACAAAACAGAACAACGACAGGAGCAATTAACGCGGCGACGATCATATACACCCGCATAAAAACAGCACGCGGCGTAAGCAGGGACGCAAACTGGTATGAATCAGCAACAGAAAAGCAAGGCAAAACAAGTCAAACATGGCAGCACTGCAACCTATAGAGATGACTTCATATTCCTGCCCCAAAGCCATCCTCCTGGTTTTCCTCATTTTTTTTCCTTCTTAGTTACCAATTGCATCTCGTATTTCCTCACTTTTTCATATATGGAGATTAGAAGAACGATATGACCACATGTATCTACCCGTCATCATCCACATCTCCATCACTATCCACACTCGTACTCGGTCTCCTTTGAACTGCACCGGTACCAGCACCGCTTGTCTTCGACTTCTTTCCCCCATGGGCACCACCATGCTGCGCATTCCCACTCAAAGCAGCCGCCGCCTTCCGCTTCTGCCCCGGTGACACATTCTGCGCAGATGCGTGCGAATGAACTTGCGGATGTGAATTCCCTTTGGTCCCACCAACACCAGCGGAGTTATTGTTCTTATTGTTATTATTTCCATGATTCGGCAAATTCTCAATCCCGGTAACGCCTAGCGCGGCGTTCTTCTCCATCTGCGCTACTTCCTCGGCTGTCAGGAATCGGCCACCTGGTCCGCGCGGCCGGCGCATGGCGTGGTTGTGTCGTGACTCGTGGAGGTAGGGCTTGCGGCCCTTGGAGGTGAGGCGAAGTTGGTCTTCAAGCTTTTGTCGCGCGACGCGCCGCTTGAGGATGCGGTGGAATTGCTTGGCATTGACATAAAGAGGTGATTCTTCAGCAGGTGGGGCGGAAGGAGCGGAGGTGGAGGTCGTGGTGACGAGGTCTTGGGAAGGTTGGGGGGGTTGCTGTTGCTGCTGTGGCGGTGGGGGGTGCTGCGCATGTTGCGGGTGTTGCGGGTGTTGAGGATGCTGAGGATGTTGAGGCGGGGCGGACATTGGTGAGGGGCCCGGTGGGGGTCGTTGCATGGTGTGGTTGTGGCTATGGTTGAGGGCGGGTTGGGCGTTTTGTACATGGGGGCTGCTGATCTGTTGGCTCATGCGACGTTGTTGTTGCTGCTGCTGCTGCTGCTGCTGCTGCTGCTGTTGTTGTGGCTGTTGTTGTGATGATGGTTGTTGCTGCTGTTGTATCGACGCATTTTGCGGCATTTGCACTTGGTTGGAGAGCGGTGCCATTTGGCCGGGTACCTGTGGTGGCGATCTTGGATGTCGTTCATTTTTCACCTGAGAAGATGGTAACCTTGGTGAACCCCGAGCGCCTGGTGGCAATCCACCGCCCATTGAGTCTTGATGCAACGGTTGGTAGAACTGATGACCCGAGGCAGCGGCAGTGGCCATCGCGGCAGCGGCAGCAGCGGCTTGGGTAGGAGAAATTCCATACGTTTGTGGGAGTGGAGCGTACTGTTGAGGGAAGTTCATCTGCTGGTGTACCTGGCCGGGCGCACTTTGTGTTTGTTGGTAATGTGATTGTGAAGGGAGGATTGGAGAAGCCTGGTGGTTTGAATGGGGGTGTTGCATGTGCGGTTGAGGGTTTGTGGGGGACGTGATAGACCCGACCGGCGGGCCAGTATTACCAGTTGAGGATTGGTATGGAGGCATGTGTGAGGATGCATGTGGGTGCTGATTGTGAGGTTGTTGGTATTGAGGGGGATACTCCATGATTGACGCGCTGGTTGGGTGGAATGAACTTGGTGTATGACCCTTTTTTCCCTTTTCAATATTTTTTTAATTTAACCGAGCCAGCGAACGAGGAGCTGAGATTCCGGCAGCGCAAGTATCTGCCTGGTCTAAACCAGCGGCAAATGCGTTGGGAAGCGCACCAATGGAGTCGCAAGCCAGGAATTTATTATTTTTCTTGGGTGAAAGGGGAGGGAAGGCCAGCAACTACTTTCCGATCGAGGGATAGGATGGGATGGATGGCGGACAGGATAGGGTAGGACGCGGACGGGGCCGGCGAGAATCGAGGGTTATGTTTGAAGTGCTCGAGAGAGGAAGCGCGAACAAATGATTTGATACTGCTGGGATGGGGAATCTGCAGCCTTTTCGGTCGCGTCAGCACCTAATGCAGCGGTGGATGGTCACTGGGTTTAGGTCCGGTTGGGAGAGAGCAAACAGACCAATACGAGCGGTCGGCGCCAAATGAGCGATCGGCTGTGTGTGTGCACACGCTTCGACGCACAAAGTTTTTTTTCTCCCTTCCTTGTCCTCCCGTTGGTTGACACAATCGAGCAAAAGTTTTTCGAACGCGATGACGGACCAAGGCCCGATTATGGAAAAATGAAAAAAAAGAGGGATTTGAGGAATAGGTAATATGGAAGGATTATAAAAATGGTCCTTTTTGAGCGACGGTTGAACAGCGCAGTCGCAGCGAAGACGTGGTTGGGCTCTGATGCAGGAAGCCGGGGGGCAGAGGCAAGGTGGGTGACAGAAAGGCGCGTTGATGTGTTGTCAACAGCGGTGGTCGGTCTTGTTTTCGTTTCGTTTCTTTTTCCAATTTTTTTCTTCCTTTACTTTCGGGGGTTGGGCGGGTACTATAATTTTCTTCTTTACTTTTTTAGGGTGGGGCAAAAGCAATAACAATAAGTTTCAAAGATGTGACAAAAATAATGACGAGAATCAGGAAATGAGCCAGAAGGGAAACGCAAACAACGCAAACGTGCAGGATGAGGAATTGCCGCTCCACGAAATAGGGAAGAAATCGTGAAAAATAATAAAAATAATAATAAAAATAAAGAATAAAAACCCCCAAAAAATATAGAAACCGAAAAAGAGGCCCAGTGATTGACAGCGCAATCGGTGGCTTCCGTTCGTGTTCTGCGGATCTTTCTTGATGGGGATAACACAGACGGAATCAGCAAATAATTGGACCCGGAACGAAGGTCGACGGGCGAGCCTGAGAGAGGCGGGGGATGGGAATGGGGATATCAGCTAGCGTCTTGCCACGTCGTAGGTCCGATCTGAGGCGGTGCCCAAGGCTGGTCACTGGAACCGGGTAATTTCTGGGGCAGATGAGGGTTGCCGGAACCGCCAAGTCGGACCAAGTCGAGGCTGCAAGATCAAAAGAACCCAAGGGAGCTAACTGGGCAGGCGAGGGGGGATGAGAGTGAAATGGGGAGTATTGAAGCTTCGATTCTGATGTCAGATCCAGAACCAAGCGGCGAGTGGAACGTTGGGAGAAAAGAGGGCTGGGTGGAGAGAGAAGAGAGGCTAATATGGAGACTAAATGAACACTATATGATTGATGTGCAGGGTACGCCTGGCGATGGAGGGCTGGAGAGGGAAATCCGAGGATTGATAAGACAACAGCATCAACAACAAGAACAAGAACGTTAATATGACAAACGGAGTTTGGCGACGCAGAAACTGGACTCGGGACTAAAAAAAAAAGAGGGCAAGGCGAGGGAAAGTGAGCAGATAATTGGGGGTGTATGCGCTGGCAAATGCGGGAGCTATTGATGCGTGCAGCAGGCGACATCATTGCTTGTCGCCGAAGAGAAGGATGAAGAAGCAGAGGACAATGAGAACACTTACCACAAGAGCTTTTGTCGCAAGAGCAATGGATATGAACCTATATACACGCGAACCGGTCGGTTAAATAAAAAATAAGAGGATGTCTGTCTCAATTGCAAGTTGTTTCTCAGGATCCTCCGTATTCTCAGTATTGTTCTGATGATAATCTTTGGGGGCGGGTTTCAGAGGATCGGAAGCCAGCTGGCAATGGGCGGATGAGAGCAATAGAATAAGAAATAACAACAGGGTCGTAATCGATGTCTAACACACAGGGCTTGTCAGAGTAAACATCACCCCCCAGAAAACGTGGATGAACACCTCTGTAGGCCGCTGGTGTCCACAGACAAACAGACGTCAGAAGAGCTGGAGTCTGGAGAGGAAGACAGGACGCCTTGATTGGTGAAAAAGGGGTGTCAAGAAGGGCCCAAGGCAAAGAAGCTTCTTTTCTTTTTTTTTTTTTTTTTGCCAGGACCTCTGTGCCAAGTTGGCATCCCCGTGGGATGGATGGTTGGGGGGATGATAATTTGAACTTACAATGGTCCTTGGGGCAGTGGCAGCAGTGGCGTTTCGTGGCAATAACGCAAGCAAGAACTCTCAGGACAACGGAAGTGGAAGAAATAGACGCGCAGGCAGACACCGTCGGTGACAGCGGCAGGAAGACGGGCAAATCGGAGCGTCCCAACGTGACCAGAACAGCCAGAGAACTTCCAAGGGTTCGCTGGGAATCTGGAGGATTGGCAGCAGGCGATTGGAGAGACGGGGACTGGGTGAACTGGGTGAACTGGCACTGACTGGCACTGACTGGTGAGTTGGTTGCCAGATGGAGCAGGTTTTGGACAAGTGATAGGCTGTGACGAGAGGATTTTGGAACGGGGCGAATTACGAATTATCTAAGAGGCTGAGCCGCACCAGGAGGGGCTGCTGACTGTGGTCTGAGGTAAGCAGTGCCGTTGACAAATTTGGCGCCCGCGGCGGAGGCTGATCCACGGACCACGGGCCACGGGACGCCCCCGAAAACGGGCAAGGGCTGCTGTTGATTGGCTGGCTGGGCTCGATTTTACTGTGGGCTGGGACAAATCACATCACATTTTGCTCTTCACATATCGATTTTCTCTTCCTGCAAGTTTCACCGCATCCCGAAGCTCTGATGTGACGGGGCCCGAAGGCGATTCAATGGTCAATGGCTGGCGAACTAGGGAAACTACTATTGAACTTTCCTGAGTAGCCGCCTTGGCAGATTTGCAACGGGCACCTCTTCATCTTCCTTTCGTTTTGGTTTTTTTTTTTTTTTTTCCCCTGTGAACGCACCAGCCTGAAAAAATAACACGACGGCTCCGGGGAAATATTATTCTTGAAGAATGTGATATGAACACACATTTGTGAGAGAATATTTGGTTTTATTCTTTATCATTTTTGAAACAGACACGAAAAAAAACTTACAAAGTCAACAAACAATCAGCTCAAGCGGTCAAGGGCTGACATGGATTCCCAGCCCCCCAGCCCTCAGCCCCATATCCATGCTGGCTCCCACTTGTTCATCCAACTCAAACGCCCTCAGTCACGAGCGTGTTGTTGAGCAAACTGTGCACTGGTGAAATTGGGCTGAATTGGCTCTGTGCTCTGACAGATCCTTGGTTTTGATGTCTCATGGATGTTTCTACGACTCTCGGGCTGTGGTCAATTTTATTTTTAATTTTTTTTCGAACTGCTGCGGGTAATGAATGATGCTGATGCTTGATGCTGTGCCGTCCGTGCCTTTTCCGTTCAGCCCTGGCATCCGCAGGACAATTGAGCACCTTGTTCGCGGTAAATGGCTGCAGCACCGCCGTAAGCAGAACTTGCTTTTCCAAGGACAAATCGATGGAGAGAGAAATTCCATCTTCCTTCCCCGGAATCGCTTTGCCATGTCTCGTAACACAGCTGTGGCAGATTTGAATAACCGTAGCCACCCACAAGCACCATGAGCGATGCTCGTTTGATTTGAAATGGGCCCAGTCATAACGCTGTATACTTGCAGAGATATATATTCATGATGGCGCTGATGGTTGCACGGCTTACTCCCTACATACAGCGGTGATGGCTGCAAAAGTCTGTGCTTGCGGCTGGGCTTGGGGGAGTCTCTTCTTTCTTAGTACATGCACGTGCGTGCATCAGCGAGGGTACCACCACGCCAATTTAGTATGGGAGAGGACCTGCTTCTGTTGGTCTTGTTTGTCTTGGAGGTACTCCCTCATACTAAATTAGCATGGTGGTACAAAGTGGTCAAGAAAATGGTGAACTCGGTTGCAGCAGTTGGAGTTAGTTTATGGGGGTCGATTCCTAAAACTTGGCGGTCACGCTAGGGTCAGTACGCTATGGTCCGTTTATGGCTCTTTATTATTTATCATGTCTGAGTCTCTGCCATTTTAAGTATCTCTTATTTTTGCCTTAATTTTTTTCGATTTTCAATTTCTAATTCCTTTACAGTCCATCTTGCGCAATCAAAGGCATATCAGGAAGATCAAATGTGATTCAAAAAAGAAGAAGGCCTCATCCAATATAATGGTATTGCAGCCAAGCATCTCACTTCGCCATGCGACGTAAATCTTTTTTTATGGACCTAAGTCCTATTTTTTCTATGATACAGCAAAATTTCCTGGCAGTTGGCTACGAGCGCTAACACCAATGCCTCCACAGGGCCAGCTGAGTTTTTCTGATGCATTAAGAGAGAAATGTCGCGAGGTCCAGACTGTCGGTATTCAGTCGAGGAGACGGGGTCTCGACTTGTTTACTTTCAGGAAACTGCTCTCGGGATATAGTGGGAGCTTTGCCAATTGAGACTGCGGGTGAGCAGCCGTTGCTATTCCTTCCATACCACACTGTAAACCTGTTTTTTGCAACACTAGTTGACGACATGGTGTCATTTTCCCTGTTCTTAACATTGAAGAAGTATCGTCTTCTGTTATGAGATATGTATCCTGGCACAAATCCGGGCATACGTCTACCAATGATACGTATTTCCCCCGTGTTGCATAGCCAATGGAGTGTCCATGGCCGATCATGGCCCTTGAAGTCGAGGCCTGTCATATAGGTGATGGAAAAAATTTGCGGGCGCCGCGAATTCCATTCTTCAGATTCTTGATGGAGGTTTTTCTACAATCACATGGGAGGATGGGAGACCAGAATTCGTGCCTTTCATTATACCTATGAACCGTGACGAGAAAGGTCTTTCCGGTCAGCCTACACAAGGGTGAACATCCACGGCTAGGACGGGCACATCGAAGGAGATCAGTAACACTGGTCGCTGTTCCTTTATGAACAGTGCAATTCTTATCACTTGATTCTTAATGTGAATAGAGTGTTGGTACTATTTTACTGCTCGATGCTCGATAGAGATATCAGCGTCCCCGGATCCAGCTGACGAAGCGTTCACTTATTCGTTCGTTGAGCTATCAAGGGCTTTGCTAAATCCCCCATCGTAGATATACGGCAACAATCGCAATTTTCTACTCTCGGTTCGAGCGCCGCAGACCAAACATATGAGGAGCTCCGATTGTTTCCTCGCAGGCACATAGGGACTAATCATTAGGATCCATCCATACCTCTCAAAACGAATGAAGAAGGATTGACGGTTCTTCCGGCTGCTGAGGTTTTTCGTTCTTTTCATACATTCGTTTGGTTGATATCTACTAATACTGAAAGCCGTGTCTTGTCATATTACTTTTTGAGGCTTAGGCGGTAAAGTACAGTGTCGGGAGCCTCCTAGAACAGCAATGGCGATCCGACAACCTTTTCGACGATGGATATCCTCAAATAACTTGTCGCCGGAAGCTGTGCACTACAATTTATTTCACCAAGTTCTGTCCGTTAAACCAATTTACTGGTGGGAATTATCTGAATTGCTCCATCCCATGAAGAGTGGTGCCAACCCCTCAGTAAAAGTTATGCAGGATGGCCGTCATAATGTTTGTTTCCTTGATGGAGCCTGATTTTCATTGTTTTCCGATTCCTTGCTTTGATCTTGAACTAATTCGTCTCATATACCCTGGATAAAAGCTGGTTCACAATGTATCTCTGCAACTATACCTCACAACGACGCCAACTACCAGACCTTTGTCGTTCTAAACGTTCCCTATGACTATGTATGTGTTAGTTTTCCCGAGCGCGACGTTCAAGGAGGAGCATTCTTTTTAGCCGGGGTTGGAGGGTGCTATGGAAACGGATCAACTTGTTTGGATACCGCAAGAGAGGTTAGACCTCATCCTGGAATAAAACTAGTCAACTCACTATTCCGAGCAGACGGAGTAATGGACATCGGGCATGCCATCGCAATGGAGTTTCTGAGTTGAATAAGATCGGGACTTTTCATTTCCCGACCACGGATCTCAAATATATCCTGGCCCCTTGATCGTGCTGTAGGGACCGACCACGAATATTCATATTTGCAGAGTATATTGGAGAATTGTATCACCGCCATTGGAACAATTGCTTCCTGTTATGTACGATTGCTATCGGGTATGGGACTTCTAACGGCTGACGGATATGCAGATATAAAAATTTTTGAAACCCGAGGTGCCTTCCGACAAGCCTAAGATATGTAATAAGTTTTTAGGTATATGGAAAGGATGGGTGATCATCTTGGCGAACTATGGATTGGCTTTTGTCCATTTTTTGTCGTCGATTGTTTTTCAGAAGTACAAAATGTGGTTACGGACCTAAAATCGACGTCCATACCAACATAACCAAAACCATCGATATCACATCCTTATCGATGACGCCGCAGTATGCAGCTCCCGAATCGTCGCCCGATACCTCCACGGTGGTTAGAAACGATGCTCTCCAAAAGTTTTCTCCATTCTTGCTAATCCTTCTTAGAATGCAATTCTACGTCATCTTCGGAGACAAGCTAACGTTCATGCTCAAGATTGCTTCTGACCATTATTCCAACCTTGATTGCCGGTAGCTTTTTTGTAGCTTATCCGACACAAGGGACGACTTTTCTCCTTGGTGACCATTTCGTCCCCGTCATTTATTTGAACCTTAATGGGAATTGAGCTTGGGGCATGAATTTGAATACCAAGTTCCAGAAAATATTCCGTATGGGGCTTGGGCATAGCAACGACAATTATCGAGGTTGATCTACAACACATGTGGTTCCACTGATAGCGCGCCCTATATTGACCAGAAATGTGGATCCTCTCTTGGCCATATCTGAAGAGGGTTCGGGATTTTTGTTGAGTTCGGGTTCTGAATTTTCTTCACTTCGATGATGGCTGTTGAAAATTGAGAATCTTGGTTTTCTCAGAATTGCTTTAGTACTTCTATATTATCAGGGCATAAAACCACATCTTAGTGGAGAAGGGATTGGATAAAACAATTCCGCCGTACCCTCATGAGGCAAGAAGAATTCCCCTCTCATGACGTCGGAAGGGAGAAGGGAGAAGGACATGGGTGAATTTCAAGAGCCAAATTGGTATGGATATATCAAATTGGGTGTCTTACCGAGTTCTTAAATAATAGCATTTCTCAGAATCAGACAACATGTACGGTACCTCACGATGGGGAAAACTGATAAGAGAGCAGCATAGAGAGGTTATATATGATTACCATTAAAGGACACTTTTGAAAATATAATAGCTAAGATAATGAGATACAAATCTCTCTGAATAGAGAATCAAGAGAGTTAACTAGCACTCATTGCAATTCGCTCTGGTGGTGCAGCAGATCTCCTTCAACGCGTTATTATTTCTCTTTCCATTTTCTTTTGTTAGCCATTCTCCATTTCATCATTTCCCCCCTCCCTCCCTTTCTGGTTTTCGGGTTTTCTGCTTCCCGAAGAAAAGAAGCTGTGTTGTTGTCGATGCTACCTAGATGTCCCATAGGCCCACAAATGATGGGACCCTGCGATCTTATCAATCTTACGCTGGTAAACAAAAAAGTATCCACAAACCGTAATATACTCAATATCATGATGTATTGTAATTTGTATATTACGTATGGACTTATATCAATATTTTTCAAGGCTCCAGAATATAATTTCGTAATTTTGACTAAGTTAAACTTTGATCAGATAAATGAAAATGAGCCATTTATCATCTGCATTGGATGAAAAAATTTTCTTCCGTGAGAGTTTGATTAGTTTTGCTATCCGGAGCCATTGCCAACGAGTTGACCCATAGCTTCGGCTACATGCTCTCCTGTAGCCCGGTGACACATGGAGGGGAAAAATTTCCGTCAAAACAAGCAAACGAGGGACCTTCGCAAGGCGTCCTGCAAGCCGCAAAGGCATGGCGCCACTGTGGGATGAAGAACTTATGACTTTCCTTGTGGTTGCGTCTGACTCCCGCATGGTGAGCTTGAACCACTTGCAGCTGAGGGCTAGCTGAAAGCTAATTGAAGTTTTTGATGGGTTCTTTGGAGCTACTAGTTCTTCTCCTTTTTACTCCGTGCTTTTGCTCCGATTGTCAAAATTCGATAGTATCACGAAAAGGTGTTCATATCTTGTCCGCTGTCAGTAGGATTGAGAGCTATTTTTGATCATTGTAAGCAGGGGAGTTTTTTTTTTTTCTTTTTCTTTTTTATTCGAAGCTGGAGCTTCCAACTAGCCACGACCACCACTCCCCTCCAAACTAGTGTATATTGCATTCCGGCATTGTCTCGTTTTCACTAACAAGAGTCAAAGTGCTGTTAAGAACCGGGTCAAATCGGGAGGCTGTTATGGGCCATGTTGATTACTCCCCTGAACTGCTTCGGCTAGTTGTGGGCCATCCTCAAGTAACCATTCTGCAAAAAAAAAAAAAAAAGATCTGATAACGAAAGCAGCGTGGGGGAGTGGGGTGCGACCTGGAAAAGTTTGGGAGCTCACGCCACTTTCCGGTAACCATGAGCAGATAGGTTCTTTTCGCGGGCTCGGGTTGGGCGGATTGTCGACCGAAATCTTATCAGATCAAACACTGAGCATTCAACGGAAAGCTGACACAAACGGAGAATATAGATTATCGCCCCACAGATAGGTAGTATTGTTGCGGGTCTGTAGGATACTGGAAGTGTATTTCAGTATTATTCGTATTGTGTATCAGAATAACAGGTTCGCAGGACTTGCTGAAACGTCTATTACCCTAGTTGAAACGCTTGGATATGAACCGTGGAGAATTCGGAGCATCATGTTGAGGTTTCTAGCTGCAAAACACAGGCAAGGAAGCTGGGCTTCTTTCCCCTTTCTGGGTTACGATGATTGGGGCGGTCGGCCCCACGACTCACTCCTGGCTTCTTTAGAACGTATTAATGGCTCGGATTGGGACTTTGCATTTTCCACCCCGTTGCATCCCACGATCAGTGTATACTTGAACAATTGTCATGCAACAAAATGAGCTCCTCCCGCGAGATGCGAGATTTGCCGCTTGTGCGACTTCCGGAGCCATACAAAACAAAATATGAACTATACCAAGCTTCCTCGGGACCGAATGGCAGGATCTTCCAGCTTCGATTGTCAAGCGACCAAAATAACGGCGCCATTTCGCCGCCAGAGCTACTGCATCACCAGATGCTCTACTTCAGCGAGTTAATTCCTGGCCCTCAGGCTACCCTACCTGCTGAATCAGATAACACTGCTTGGGCACGGACTTGTCGAAGTCTGGTTTCGTTTGTGACTTGGGATGGAGAGTCGGCACCGACCGTTGGCCAAATATGGATGCTAGTCTACGCGATCTTCTCTTTGAGGCCGTCAGAAGAATCCTTCCGTCTTTCTCTGTCGGGGGCGCAGAAAGACCAATTATACGCCGAATGCAATGCGACGGGGCTTTCTACACGTTTTCCAACTCCGGTTCAGCCTCAGCCGCTGTATACTACCATTGAAGATGTTGTGGTTTCCCGAGCTGCCTTCTGGCAAGGAGCGGGTTCTCCTCTAGGAACTCGACCTCCATGGCTTGTCCCATCGATAAGCAGGAGCGCTAGAAAACTGCCGTCAGAATATCCAGCTTTCCCTCTTCAGTACACATTGACATCTCAACTCACAAATCGGCCGGTACATACGCAACATCCAATCCGCCCAGCAAAACCCGCACGCGGGGCACCGATATACAGCAGGTATATTCCGCACCTGGATGAATTTTTCGCCATGGACCATCTCGATTACACGAACGAAACCCATCTCCAGCTGTTCCATACTTGGCAGAATGATCCCCGAGTAGCCGTCAACTGGAAGGAGGCTGGCACTTTGGACCAACATAGAGAATATCTGCGAAAGATCGATGAAGACCCGCACCAGATTGCCGTATTGGCACGATTTGACAATACCTACTTCGCGTATTTCGAGATATATTGGGCTAAGGTACGATCAGTTTCCTCATTCTTTTTGATTGGCGAAATATCCTCCGTATTTCCTACCACTTTTAACTGGATAAGCAAATGGTTTCTATCATTGATCGCTATTCGCTAATTCGATCATTCCCTGATTAGGAGGACCACATGGGCACATATTATCCCGCCCTAGATTGGGATCGTGGCAGACACTCGCTGGTTGGTGATGCGCGGTTCCGCGGCCCTCATCGCGCCATGGCATGGTGGACCAGTCTGATCCATTACATATTTCTCGACGAGCCTCGCACTACATGTGTAGTCGGGGAACCAAAGGCAACCAATGGACCGGTATTGGGCTACGACGCAGCACATGGCTTCCACGTTCACAAGTGGGGAGACCTGCCGCATAAGAGATCTGCCATGGTGAGGTGCGAACGGGTGCGGTTTTTCGAAGTCGTGAATTTTGGAAATGTGACTAGCAATGGGACGGCAAAGCCAAGCAAAAGTAAATTATAGTCTTCGTGGCGGTTAGCTTTGAATTTGAATTCCAATGAAAATAGATTGATGTTCGATTACTTGTAACTATCGTATTTATTAAGTTACTCACATTAAATGCAACACCTGTCTGAGGTTTAGATATAAGTTCTACTGCGAAGAAACTTGTTTACTTTTGGTCTATGTAAAGTTACATTAGTTACATTTAGGCAAACTGCACTCTATTCCGTCAAGTTTATTCACTCTTCACCGACCAATCGCTTCCCCAGATCCCTCAATACTTGCTTTTGAATTTTCCCACTGCCAGTCTGGGGCATATCTGGCGGCAGCCTTGGATCCAAACCAAACACAAACACGTGTTTGGGAGCCTTATGTCTCCCGAGTGTTTGCCGCGTCCAATTTTTTATTTCGTCGTCTGGTGGACAAGCATGGCCAGGCTCGAGTACCAAAAATGCACCGACAATCTCTCCGTAATGCTTATTGGGCAGTCCAACTACTGCAGCTCGCGAGATTGCTGGGTGTGCAGTGAGACGTTCTTCAATTTCGAGAGGATATATATTTTCTCCTCCCCGAATAATTATGTCCTTAAAGCGTCCTGTGATGGTGCAATACCCGTCTGAATTGAACACCGCCTCGTCGCCAGTCCGCAACCAAATCGTGCCATCCTCATCTTCTATCAATGCCTCTGCTGTTTTTTCCAGATTTCCCCAGTATCCTTTATGGATTTGATAGCCAGACATACAGAGTTCTCCCCGTTCTCCGATTTTCACAGTCTCCCCAGTTTCGGGATTGATGATTTTGGCGCTAGCATGCGGTAGCACTTTGCCTACCGTTGTGAGCCGGGTCGCAATTGAGTCGCTAGTGAATGCGTTGAAGCATGTTGGCGACGCTTCGGTCAACCCGTAACTGCTGGTGAACTCGGTCATATTCAGCTCATTCCATAGCCGTTTCATGAGTGGTCGTGGTACTGGCGCACCTGCGATGATGCCCGTTCGGAGCTGTGAGCAGTCAAACGAATCGGGTCTCGGGAGTGCCAGGATTGCTTCAAACATCGTGGGCACTCCATGGAGTGCTGTGCACCGCTCGTCTGATATTGCTCTCAATACAGCTTTGGGGTCAAATGTTTCGGCAGGATACACGACCTTGGCTCCGTGCGTTATACACGCGAGAAGACCAAGGACAAGCCCAAAACAATGAAATAACGGCGGCGGACAGCAGAGTATGTCGTACTCGGTGAAGTCCATCCGATCACCGATGAAGCGCGAGTTGTTGATTAAATTGCTGTAGACGAAATCAGCGCCTATACTCCCCTTGAACCGAAGAAAAGACAATCTCACTGATGTGTTAGCATTGAAGCTTTTGGATTCCCGGTTGAGCCACTCGTAAATTGCAGATTACAGACATCGAATGGCGATAGAGTGTCCTGCCGCCGCTGGACTGCGCTTAACGGGACAACGTTGCCGGCAAGAATAACATCTTTATACGTTCCAAAGCTTTTAAAGGAACCTTGAATCATCACCGTTTCATTAAGATTTGGAAGTCGTTTTGATATATCGTGCGAGTGAAGATCCTCCAATGCATCCTTAAGATCATGCCGGCCGATTCGAGGAACAATGAAGAGCAACTTGCAAGCTGTAACGCATCAGTCATTACGTCCTAGACGTTAAGGAAACGCAGCAAAAGGGAAAGGTGGAGAAATTCACCTGTGTGGCTAAGAGCATACTTCAACTCAGCATGCGTATAGGTGTTGTTGATGACAACTAAGATAGCGCCAACACGGGCAGCGGCGAAAAACAGTGACACATATTCTTCACAGTTGCCCGCCATCACCCCAATTCTATCCCCACGCTGGATCCCTTTTGCTAAGAGGCCACGGGCAAGGTGACTGCTTTCATTTTCAAGTTGTCCATACGTCCATCGCGCCCCGGTCCAGGGGACAACGACAGCCTCTAGATCGCGATACCGCAAACACTGGAACTCCAGCAATTCGCCCAAGGTCATCTCCCAAAGAGCAGGCTGGGTAGGTCCGTGAACGACCGCGAGGCGTTCTTCATTTTTGCGAACGGATTGTGGCAGGATGTGATTTAATGTTTGTTGCAGCCTCCAGAGAGGGGTTTCATTTGATATTGTGGCCATTCTCGATACTTTGCTTTGACAATTTGACACCAAGTCTTCCAATGCTCAACAGCAGTGTTTCACTACGATAAACCGGACATATAACATCGTCTTTTCTTGCTAAAACATCCTCCGGAGGCCGTATGAAGTAGTACGAGCCATCGAGCCATCCCATGCAGCTGGCGTGGTGGATTCGGAAACCTTGCCAACAACATTCCGATGTCGCTACTCTGCCTGGGAAATACGCACAAATATTACGATTACGTTTTCAATTTTCTCTACCGGAAAAAATAAAAAAATGAGGTGATTTCCCTAGTCGAGCAGACGCAACAGTGGAGCGAACGTTACTCTACTTACTTTCCGCGGGCCGCGAATCTAATCAATCAGATAATCTTATCATCAGCGGGACCCACCAGCCAAAAATTACAGGCATTACATGAGTGGTATTACGCTGTTCACAGCGGTACGGGCATGTATCATGTATTGACACGCCACTCTGATGGAAGGTACTATACCTGGTCTAGACCAACCATCCCACTTTGTGCTCGTGTTGAGTCCGCTTGAACCTCTTTTTCCTAGACGATCCCACAGCCAACACGGCAGCTATTCTCCCCCTCGGCAAGGTTTGTTGGAGACTAGCACCTCAATCGAGTGTTCCGTTCTCGGTGGCCTGATATCGGCTTGCTTAGGATGTCAATCTATGGTTCTCACTGCACTGTTTCGGGGGCCAAATTTTGCAAAACTAGGATTTCCATTACCGCCTCCTAGCCGGACAATGGAGCCAGGAACCCGGTGGTGATGCGACCAGCAAGTGGAGTGGCCTTTTGTTGGGAAACATTTGCGTATTCTCTCCTTGAATCTCCAAGAAGACCATGGCAGTCAACTAGGCTAGCGGTGTGTTCTCACTTTCACAAGAATCCTCATAAGTTTTGGTGTTCCCAACTGTCACTTGCTGCTATCCAAAGTTTCTCTCCTTGCCTCTCGCCCTCAGTGAGCTTTCACCATTATCATTCGCTCCCTCACATCAAGTCTTTACGTCGTCGTTGTCGTCCTCAATACCTCCATGGAGACGGTACTCAAAAACGATTGTTCCCACTGCCAGGAATCGGTGATCTTGCGAGAGAACGGCAGTGCGGGGAGGAGTTCAAATACCGGCATTCAGCATGATATAATTTGCGTTGGGTTTGGCCCTGCAGCCCTCGCCATAGCAATTGCTATGCGGGACCGCGGGATTCAGCGTCGCGTTCGTTTCTTGGAGAGGCAGCCAGAATTTGGCTGGCACACGGGCATGCTGCTACCCGGGAGCAAAATGCAAATTTCTTTCATCAAGGACCTGGCGACTATACGCAACCCTCGTTCTCACTTCACCTTCCTCAACTACTTGCACCAGAAGGACCGTCTCGTTCATTTCACCAACCTCTCCACCCATTTACCTTTCCGTGAAGAATTTAACGATTACATGAAATGGTGCGCCTCGCATTTCAACGATTGGGTGCAGTATAACCAGGAAGTACTCAGCGTTACTGCAGTGGAGTCTACCCCTGGACGGCCCGCTGAATATTTCAAACTGATATCCCGTGATGTGCGTTCTGGCGAGCTCAGAGAATTGTCTGCTAATCACATCATCGTGGCTAGTGGAGGAGAACCAGCCATTCCTCCAATACTTTCTACGCAACACCTACCCAAGACTGTTATCCATTCCTCTACTTACCTCGGTTCTGTACATCATCTTCTCCAAGAAAGAAATGGTTCCTACCGTTTTGCCGTTGTTGGTGGTGGCCAGAGTGCAGTGGAGATTTCTGAAGATATACAATCAAGATACGCAAATTCGAAAGTCACTCTTGTGACGAAAGCTTCGGCCTTGAAGCCCAGTGACGACAGCCCATTGTGAGCCCATTCCCATCTTTACTGCCAATTAAAAGGTTCTAATTTAAACCCTCTCAAATCCGACAGTGTCAATGAAATTTTCGACCCAAGCAGTGTCGATAAGTTTTATTCTTTAGACCACTCAGCACGCCAACAGACACTTCTCGAGAACAAAGCAACCAACTATGGTGTTGTTCGGCTACCACTTCTGGAATCAGTATATGAGAAGTTATATCGTCAGAAGTTCCTGGAACCCAACCCTGCTAAGTGGCCATTTCGCCTGGTTACTGGCCGTGAGGTAATGGGCCTGAAAGAACTCCCAAACAACCAGATAGAACTTCAGCTCAAGGACACCCTATCTGGGCGTGTTGAAAGCTCAGCCGAGGTATATGACCTAGTGATTCTTGCCACAGGATATACGCGTAACCCAATAGCCACCATGCTCAAACCCTTGGAGCAAATTGTTGAGGCTCCAGCAGATGGGAAGACGTATTGCACAGATCGGGACTATCGATTGCGCTTTCGCCAGGGGAAAGTCAAACGTGATGCTGGCATCTGGCTCCAGGGGTGTTGTGAAAGCAGCCATGGTGTATGTCAACTCTTCGTTCCTACCCTAAACATTTATATACATCCCATTTCGTACTGACAATGTAATTTCATGCAGCTGAGTGATAGTCTCCTGTCTATCCTTGCGGTGCGTAGTAGCGAACTGCTTGATTCCATTCTTGCAAGCAGTAAGCGCGCTGAAGATCATGCACGACTCTAAAAGACTGGGAGTGCATTGGCCCTTCTAAAAGAGGTCCGGCTAGCTATGCTTTTGAATAAAAATTTCCATTAAGGCATTGATATGTTTTATGTTTTTCTATGTCAGAAGAGAGGGGCGGAGACCAAAAATACCCTGCGATCCTTCAATTGCAAGCTCCAAACTATATTGTGCATTATTGATAATTTCAGCCGCTCGAACTTCGCCACTTTCTTCCTTTTTTTTGTGTTTGGAGGTGTTGATTATTAGCACCCTAAAAAGCGGTGGCTGGATGAATCTGAGCAATTTTCGTTCTTATGTGGAGTGTCTTGTGTTCTATATAGATATGTATTCTCTTCGTCTGTTGATCCCTGTTATCCTGTTCTTCTCCTTGGTTATTTATACATCTACAATTTAGCCTTAACACCCTCATCTTCACATTTCAACAAAGCCTTTCCATTTGACAATACAACCCTATCACCAACTTTCACCATAAATCGCACCTCTTGCAAGCTTTCGTCGTTCCGGACTGCAGATGTCGCTCTTTTGCACACGCCCATATCCCACATGAGGATATCCAGTTTATCCCCGGGTTTAACGGGTGAGGAAAACATCGCCTCAAAGTCACGCAAACGCCGACCCTCGCTTCCACCAAACTGAGATAACACAGCCCGTGCTGTGATATTCCAGCTGTATAGTCCATGCATGATGGTCCCACCATACCCCAGAGATTTCCCTGGCTCAGGGGTAGCATGAAGGGGATTATAATCGCCGTTAAGCCTGTATGAGTGGAAATGAATACTCATATTTAGAGAGACTTGAAGCAAGGAAGCAAAGTGGAAGGTTGAAGTACGTATCAAGCAGGGGAGTGTCGCACCTGTACAAATGTGCAGATTCTGCATTTGAATGGAAACTTGAGACTGCATCTGGCCGTCTTGCTGGAGTTGAAGGAACATGCTCGTTCATTTTCGGACCTGTATGTTAAATCAGTAAGGGCAAGGCTTCCTGTCTTCCAATGAAAGGAAGAAGCAGCAGAATGGCGTCGTTTACCTCGCTCCCCACCCCAACCGCCAGTTCCCTTGAAGAAAACACTCTCCCAAGCGCGCGTATACACCTGGCCGCTCTCCCGCTGCTTCAGCACATGTTCCATCTCCATCACTGTTCCTTTTCCCGCTCCCTTATCGAACACCCCCAGAACTTTGGTGTGGATATCCCACGTCTTCCCCTCACTAGATGGCGGTAGTGGACATAGGAACTCCATTCGTCGTCTCCCATCGACAGCTACGCTCCAATCTAACACCGGGCAGCCCGGAGGGAGAGTCCGTGCTGCATTTCGCGCGAGGAAGTCCACAATGTCGGTGTCAGCGTGTTTGAAGGCTGGTATTGGGTTTTGGTAATCAGTACTTTTGCAAACATGTGCAGAGGAATAGAAAGATGCCTGTACTTAGCACAATGGGATACGTGGGAAAGACTTGGAATTTTGGGTGTAGTTCCTGAGAGCAAAAATTAGCAACCAAGGACGGCGATATTCTCTTTTCTAACTCTAATATACTCCGTGGCAGTTTCATAGCGATGCGTACATAAAGAAAGTGAAGCTCATCCCCCGCTTTGCAGCCAATTGAGTGAGCGAAAAGAAGTACATCACGCTTCAGCCATGTAGTCTTCACTGGCGCATATTCGAAGGGTGGAATTGTGATTGGCATCGTCGAGAAAATCTCGATTGCCTTTATAATGTATTTCGGCCCGAGTATGTAATTCCTGGTGAATTCTCCCTCGCCTTCAGGAGGACTGATTTTATGGATAGTCCGCTCGTCTGAGGTCAATTAATCAATATTTACAACCGATATCGATAAGAAATTTATATATTACGTGCCGGGGGGGTTGATTCTTTAGGGATAGAAGACCAGTCAATATTTCCACGAGCACCCGGGCGCCACAGGAACAAGCCATGATAGTTTCTACAAATCAGCCCTTTTTCAGGGACAATTTTTATAATTTTAATTTTTTTGTCTTATGGCCTGACATTCTTCCTTTGGCCTCCGTGGTTTCTGGTATGCCCCACGTCATAATACCCGAAATTTGCCCGTATGTTACAGGGTTTGTAAAGATACGCGCATACGGCTGGTTATGATCTGAAAGAAAACTAGGTTTTTGCACAACGGATCTGATAACTCTAATACACGCTATGCGGAGTGGCTTGTATTGTAGCATTGTTTATGCCACATCGCAAACGAGCTAGAGCAAGAGAATAGAGGAGGAGGCATGGTGTCATTGGTGCGGCCTTGAGCGTTGGTGATTCTCTACCGACTACCTGCGCTGCACCCCTCACCGACCTTGTAATGGAGGTGCTTGTTGGCAACAAATTCAAACTTCATTGTTGAGCTATTTTCCTTTTTCGTTTTCCTTTTTTTTTTTTTTTATATATGGTGTGTGCGCGCCAATCACAACTAACAGCAACCGAGAAAGAAGAACTACGATGCCAAAGGTTCTCACTGTGTGCCATGCAGCAGCCCATGAATCCGTGCCCAGCTCCCCTTCGAATCATTTTCTATGTTTTAAAAACAAATGCAATGCACAGTAGAGTTATCATCATCACCCAACCAGAATTAATATATTATACTATATCGTATTAACTAAGGTGCTTCTTTATTCTTATTATTAATAAGATTTATACAGTACAACATGCAATACAAACAGGATTTGCTTTTTACCTCAAAAATCCACCTTGTCCGAAACATCAACAGCAAGTCGTCAAACCTCAGCCGGAAGGCTGATATCCGTTCGCCGCCTATCCTTCAAAGCCCATTCGTCGTGCCGCTGAAGGCATCTTGACCGTCACAGGAAGCTCGAAGTCGGAGGCCACGTGAGTCACTTCGGCTTTCACCACAGCGCCCTGAGACAGCTTCTCGAACCCAAGTTTCGTGTAGAATACCAATCCAGCTCGGGTTGATTCGAGGTACACTGGCACCTGCAGCTTCTCGCCGACGTCCAAACCCCAGTCTATCAGCAATTGGCCAATGCCACGTTTTTTTGGTGCCCCGGGTGCACTGCGATGATTGAGCAATCTGGTAGATAGAGTGAGCTAGTTTCTGAGCATTCCTCTTAAAAATGTGGGTTGGTTCCTCAAACGAGAAGTGGAGAAAAAAGGGAGGGGGGAGTGGGTTCAATCACAAACATATTCCCTCCCCACGCAGCTACTTGTCCCCCACTTCCCAGATGGCCCAAAAAGCTTTTTCTGCCCCCTCCTTCTCCGGTCCTTGCAGCCACGCGACGGTTGGGTTCTTCTGCCATCCGTCAGCCTCTCCGCGCCAGTGGACCTCCCATACTGTCATGCCGACCATTCAAATTCTTCCGGTATCGGTATCTGCACACTTAAATGTATGGGTTACCGCGGTGCCGTGCCACCATTGCAGTGTGCTGGCTGTATGCGCCTTGCGCATTTCGACATGCATGCCCCGCAGGAATAGCCCTTTAACGCAGCAAAATAGACGTCGTAGACTGGGGTGATATCAGAAATGGTCGCAGGCAGGTCGATTAGATTCATTTTACTATCTCTTAATATCTTCTTTCGTGGGTTTGGTTTTTGAATTTCGATCTTCGATTTTCCCTTCGTTGCTGTCACACACACACACACACACACAAAATAACATTATCTTATGCGGTAGACTTTGCCATTGAGTGTGAGAAAATTCGTTAGAAGGAGCTGATAGGTGTCGTTTTGCGATATAAATAACTTGATTTCAACTTAAATCAGCGGAATAACCTCGAAGAGCACTGGTCATCGCTAAAACCGAACCCTACTAAAATTTCAACATTAAGATTCGAGAGAAATAATGATAGAAGAAGCAGGAACATATCTATTTCTGCAATTTGCCTTTTGCAGAAACATTCCAAGAACTCGATGTAATGAAATCGTGATGAGACGGCGGAGCCCGGAAAGTGAGGGTGGATGTTTTTGATACCCTTTGCCAAGCAAAATAAAAATAACCGCCAATTTTGTAAAGTTCATTCAACTGTGTTCATAGGCCAAAATAGGACAAAGTACGTTGTCGGCATAACCCCTAGTTACATGCGCAATTCAATCAGGAAATCGCACCCAAGTCGGCTTAAACAACAAGGCCCTTGACTTGCTTGAAGTCCTTGACCTTGATATCCCTCCACATCATGGTAGCTCCAAGGCCGACAGCCAGAATCGCAGTACCTCCTATAAGCATATATTTTTGCCCATCACCATAGGCTCTGTTAATGGCAATTCTTTCAAGGCTTCCAACTGGATACGATTTTTGTACCGTAAGATCTCCGTATATGAGGGTGGCGTTGGCCTTGGCCTCGTCAGGTAGGTACTCAGCTAATCTTTGGGGGAATACTCCGGTCCAGATTGCAGCGGCAACGGTTTGACCGATTGCGCCGCCGATGTTTGCAAACATGGATTCAACTGCGAGAACGACGGCGACATATTGATGAGATGTAGCGGCCATAACAGCCATTTGCTCTGTTATGACGCACGTTCCACCAGCAAAGGCGATAAAAATTTGGCACATGATGATATATCCGATATTGACATCCGGCTGGCGGAAAGTGATCATGAGGCCTACGCCGAGAATGGTAAGAGGCACACCGAAATAGAGGGCAAGCCATTTAAAGCGCCCACTCCATCGCACTAAGATGCCTACGATGATGGACCAAAAGCACGCGCCGATGCTATATATGTTCACGATATAGCTGGCCTGGGTGATTGACAAGTCGTTGACGATTTGGAGGAAAGATGAAAAATAGCTATCCCAGATGTAGAAGCTGACAAACAAACTTGCAGCAAGAATACAGGCGCCCAACACAGTTCGATCGAAAAGGAGTTCGAAAGGAATGAAACATACCGGTGCCCGGTACTTCTCGTAAAGGGCGAAAGCGATAAGGAGGAGACCACCCACGATGATCATGCTGATGACTAGGCTTGATCTCCATTGATCCTTCTGGTAAGAATAAAGGCTGAATGGGAGGAGAAACAAAGCCAACCCGCTAGCTAGGAGAATTATCCCGATAATATCGAATTCGAAGAAATAGTGTTTGAGCGATTGGGTGAATGTGCGACTATGTGTTTTTTCAGGTAGCAACCCGGCGTCTTTCGCCTTTTTGTAGTTCCAGGCAAACACTGCGTACAGAGGGCAAGTGATGGCAGGAGTGATGATGGCGAAAGCACCATAACCCCACCTGAAGCCAGGACCATTCAGGAAGACCGTCGCAAGTGGTCCGCCAACCCAGACAGTAGCGATATAAGGTGACGAAACAAACGCAAACATAAGGGCTCGATTTTTCAGAGCGGATGTATCAGCAATGAAAATACTTATTGTGTAACTCATCCCATTGTATCTACCAAGATCGAGGAAGGAAGGGAAAATTAGCTCCTAAGGAAGAAAAATACTATTTATAGATATATTAGGAAGAAAGCTCGAAAAGGTCTAACGCACCCTACCCAGTAGAACACTTGCGCAGCAGCATAGGTTTTGACATTGTTGCATGCAGCCATCATGACAAGGCCGATCGTCAGTGCTCCTACCATGATGAGGAAGCCTTGTGGTCGACCCCAGATATCTAGAACCTTAGCAAGTGGTAACTTGATAAGACCTCCGATGATATTCGACATAATCATGGTTGAAGCCGTCAATGAGTGCAGCCTAAAACTACTGGTAACATAAGGGAGAAGGGAATTGGACATTCCCTGCTGCATTGTGTCGACGAAGGTAATAACCCATATCCTATTATTTACATGAGTATATTAGCCTTGTCCTATCCGGAGACGGTTGCTGACTCAGGTGTTCGAGAAGACAGAAATCGGGGACAGAGAGCTCAAATATACATGACATATGCAAAGATGAGATGTCCTTTGCTCCAGACCTGGGTGGTGGCCTGGATCTTGCGTACCCCATCTTGGGCATCTGCTGAAAGCTGGTCTTCGGCGTCAACCTCTTGCTCTTGGGGCAAATCACCGGCTTCCTTGGCTAATCCACTGCTTATTACCTGTGGCTGGGCCACAGGCGCATGCGTCTGAAGCTTGGAGAGGAAGGCTGATCTCATTGTGACAAGGACTTCAGGGTTACGAGAGAAGAGAGCACAAGGCAGTAGAAGATTGCATCAGAGGACGACACCACAAGGGCAGCGAGCTGATGGGAGTGTTCAGAATATGAAGGTCGCAAAAAGTGAGCTTTGACACCGGGCATGTTTGCAGCAGTGTCGGTCCCACCAGCGGGGGATAGCATGCAGCTCAACCATGGCCGTTGCCGTTGGAGTCGTTGCTGAGGAGTTGCTGAGTTCGGCGGAGGTCTGATCCTGATACACCCCACCACGAGTCGAGGGACGCCAAGAAGGGGAATTGCGCCGGTTGGTTCCTTTTTCTTGGGTCACATTGACAAGGCTGGGCCCCTGATTGATAAGATGGACAGTACGGAGTAATGATAATATATTACAGTACGTCTCGTATCGTATATTATTCATGTAATGTAATATCATACCGTATATCGCATGAAAGACTTGCATGTACTGTACTATATACTACTATGTATTGTATCTGTCTAGTGTCCTTCTAATTTACGCCAGTACCATAGGAATTTCCACACCTTCGCAACAATCGGATCTTTTCTTCAGAGAATTCCGGCAGCAACCAAACCTCCTGGCGACCGCTTCTAGGGTTGGCTGTGTCCTGGCCCTTTTCCATGTGTCAAGCGTCCTCCACAGAGCCCGTGAGCGCAAGATCTATTTTGTTTTTCTATCAGCTCAAGCTCAACAAGCGAATGACGGGTTGTTGCGCTGCCCCGTCCGAGTGATCATTCCGTGCAGCTATTTGATTGATTCGAATCCCGTTATAATCAAGTTGGTTGTTGGCACTGCCCCTGAGACCTTGCAATGATTGTGATCTCCCCATCTCTCTTCTGCTTTTTCTTTTTCTTTTTCTTTAATTTTTATTATTTAAGGCTCCATCATGTATAAGAGCTACTCCGTGGGAACGAACACTGCAGTTACCTGTCCATATCCAGACAATCAAATATTGCGGCTGGAAAACGCAGCTTCCCCCTTCTCTTTTCAGTGCAATACTCCTCTTCCTACCTATCTTGATTGCGAGGTTGATTTCCTTGTGTTTGCAATTTTAAACCCATCTGAATTCCTCGCCAATTCTGCAGCGGGAATCCAATGCTGACAAAACATTCGAGGAAGTCGATGAACGATTTGCGCTTTTCACCACATTCTTTATTCCGATTACCATTTTTATCATTATCCCACGGCATTTGCTCAAGTTCAAGTTGGGAATCTCCCGGGCAATATTTCAAAATTCTCTCGGAGAAAATACGCCTTTTCTAATTGCGAAACCGTGTTTCTGGAATAAAAAGGAGCGAGCGGCACTGCCGATAAGCTCTCTCATCCATTATTCGAGATAGAAAAAATAGCAACTATACTGCTTGATGCGCCTTGATGGTTTTTAATAATGAATATATATATATATTCTTTTGCTTTTAGCATTTGCTCATTAGCTTCAACTTTTCTTGTTCTTCGTTCACAAACTTGATTCACCCACTACGCTCATTGCCAAACTTGAGAGCGCCCGCTCTGCTTGCTGCGGATCACTACAAGCGGTTATCATAAAGTAGATTTGACATCGAACGATGATGCTCAGCTACTTCCACCTTACTCCGTATATGAATGATCGATCGCTAGGCGGTACTTGGCAGGTCTTGGCCACATATATTTCCTCATCGGGTATCAAGCTTCTTCTTTGAACTCATCATCCCTCGCGCGGAGCAAAGTCAAGCGGGACAAGGCGCATCCCCGAAACAACCAGCAGCGTCTGCAGACCCAGGATATTTCCCTGAACCAGTTAGTAAATATGAATCATACGGCAGGGACAATGGGCGCAGCATCTAAGTTCCTTGTCATGGCCGGTGAAGTTGAATTTGACCATGGGCGGAGCGTTATAAAAGAGCCAGAATGGCCCGGCTCTAGCTTCCTAGACTTTCTTATTCATGGCAAATGGAGTGTTCTTTTAGAATCCCAAAATATAATTGTTTTGCCATATCAATACTATCATTCAGGAAATCATGTCACCTGAGCCTGAAGTAAAAGGTAAATACTCACCACAAGGGGAAGCCTACCGCTCTCTAACAACATCTTTCAGAGCTATACCACTATTCTCCAAACAGAAGTGCAGCCATTTTCTTCACCGTGGCTTACTCAATTTCTGCAGCATTGCATGAATTGCAGCATAGGTGAGATCATCTTCCCATCACCAAACAGAAAATAACTACTCACGGTTCCACGTCCATGCCCCTTTCTAGAACGTCTAAACCACAGAAATTCACAATCCCATTGACGCTAGGCGCCATTTTTTCGGCCATAGGTTTTCTCCAGCGCTCCCTTCTCGCTTCTGGCAAGGGAGATGTTCAATCTCTCTACACACTGTCGACGATGTTCATTCTCGGCGCTGGGCCGACGTATGCTGGTGCAGATTATTTCATCTGTGGACGACTATTCAGCTTTGTCCCCTCTGCAGCTCCAATGTCTCCAATCAGGGTCGTCCGCACGTTTATCACCTTTGACGTCCTGGCTGAGGTATGCGTCTGGACCGGTGCTGGCTTACTTGCTGGCGCTCATACTGACACGGCTGCTCGGTATAAAATTGGATTGAATTTGATTCGAGCAGCCATGATTACTCAGGCATTCTTGTTCACATCGTTCTTGGCCATTTTAGCATCATTTCATGTCCGGGTCTGTGCACTTCGTGCGGAGTGGTCTGTTACCTCGAATGGTGGTACGGGTAGAAGGTTTATGATGGTTGTGTACTCTCTTTACGCATCCTCGATGTTTATTATTATACGATCCGCCTACCATATTGCAGGTATTTCTTTCTTCCAGTTGTGTTACTAAGCTTTGAACCCCATTGCGGCGTCTTCCGAGGCTGAGCTCAGTTGCTTCTAGAAACATTTGTTCCCGAAGGCCACTCGTTTCGTACAAACGAGCAGCCTTTCCTCATATGTGAGGCATTTCTGATGTTGCTTAACACCACGATGTTCAATGCTTTCCACCCTAGCCACATTCTCCCGATTGACTCGCAGGTATACGTAGGCATTGATGGACAGGAGAGAGCCAACGAAACAATCGAGGGCGCTTTCACCGATTCTCGCCCCTTGCTGCAGAAGATACTAGATCCGCTTGATGTCAAAGGATTGTTCTCGAGGGATAAGAAGAGATGGTATGAACCTACGGCAGAGCTGGAAATGGATATCAATTCGACTCATCATCTGGTTCATCATTAGAAGCTCAGTGATAGCGAGTGGTACGGTGTCTCATCATTTGTCCACTTCGTTTTGCTGTGTCTATGTATATGCCACGTTAACTTGAGTAATCCCCACCGGGAAGTAAGATTTGGCTTGGTTAATTGAAATAGGGGACTAGAAGGAGTTTAGGTTTCTATATTTACAAATGGAAGCTCATGCATGATAACTAAGTTGTCAACTGACAAAAGCTTTCTCTACATGACACAATAAATAGGAATTTAGTAATAGTGATTCAATTTGTTAATCTGATAGACTTTTAACAAGGAGCAAGAAAGAACCGAAAGAAAGGAAAGGGAAAGGAACAAAAAATTGGGCACGGGAATTTTTGAAACAGAAATAGTATCATCAAATTTTGTTACTTTAGAGGAAATCCCTTGGGGAGTGTGGGAAGAAGAGAAGAGAAAGGACACAAAAAAAAAAAAAAGACACGTGCTAAGTAGATGAGTATACGAGATTGCAGGAGGTAAAAATTGGCACAATTTCTGGAAACGCCCATGGATATACTCCGTAGATGTCAAAAGATTTTTCAGTGTCTATACCCCAACCCAGCTATTTCGTGGGACAGACGAAAAATTTTCCGTCAGCTCGTAGGTGGAGTGCTCTCTTCCATCACGTCTGCCCGAAACAGTGTTGAATTTGGTTTGGTCACCAGCAGCGAGATAATGTCACCCATTTCGTTGAGGATAGAATCGGCCTCTGCTCTCCAGGACTCAAATGTGACGATCTCGATACATAAGCTGTCCCCTTTCGGGAAAGCCTGTATTTTCCACTCACGAAGAGGCTCCAGGTGTGGGTAAATAGTATCCATCCGGCTATTGGCTGACAAAAAACGTAGGCTCTCCACATGCTCAACGTCTTGATGTACGACAGAGTCAAACCATTCCGTCGTCTCGGGCCAGTCTGTACATTTCCGAACAATTTCCTTAAGCCCTATGCCTTCGAACGGCGTGCTTGAGATGTGCTGGTGTTGAACAAAGTTGAGCAGGTCGACTACCGTCCAACCAGATTTGAACTTGACTCTTACTGGAATGTACTGCCAAGTTGGTCCGACGACCGTGTCACAATTGGCGAAATCGATGTTGCGACCACTGACAACTTCTCCGAATGTGACGTCACGTAGGGACAAACGGCGAGCCAAGCATAGTGCCCATGCTGCTGTAGGGAGAGTGGCAAGCGTGATTTCTTTCGAACGTGATGAGATGTCAAACGTTTTGGATATAAAAATCGACTTTTTGCTGATTAACGGCGTTGATGGGCGCAGAACTGACATAGAGGAACCCTGGAGCAGGCGTCGCCAGTATTCTATGCTTTGTGGGATGTTGTTTCTGACGATGTGGTGGACAAATGACGAGAAAGGTAAGCCTGCAGGAACCAGCTCGCCCTCGTATAAAGCGGAAAGCTGACGAAGTAAAATGGGGAGGCAGATTTCGTCATATTGAGCATGGGAAATACGCATAATCAGGCAACTCAGTCCACTAGAACTCTGGACAAAGAAGAACTTTATGAAAGGGGATCCAAGTGGCATCACCGTCTGGATATCAAGACCACAAAGCTGCTCCGCAAAAGCTGTCAGGTCGCCGTCTATTTGGTATTCATCTAGGGGAAGTTGTAGTTCCTCTATCACAACGCCGAAACAAGAACCGCCGGACTTGACGAAAATCGTCCGTAGGATCTCGTTGCGAGATATGAGTTCCTGACAGCTTTTGAATAGGTGCGACTGGTCGACAGCTGCATCCAAGTAGAATAATTCGTACCGTGCAGAATATCGGGGAAGGTTGATTGTCCCATCCACGGCGATCTCCTGGAGAGGACGTGCAGGCAGGACGTCTACTACTTTCCAGCTTGGGTTCATAAGCGAGGGGTGGATAGATTCAGAAATAAAGGTATCAACATCTGAGACGTCAAGAGTTGAAAATGGACTATATTGTTTCGTAGCTACTTGGAGAGGTAGCGACTCCTTCGCAATATCCGCCATATCGTGAAAACGACGATGCTGGAAGACCTGCATAACTACCAGTTCGAGATTTTCCATTCTTCCCTCTGACACCAATTTCATAGCGCTAATAGAGTCGCCGCCGAGGTCAAAGAAACTGTCATTAGAGCCAACCTCGTCCTCACTAATCCCAAGGACGCGGGCCCAGAGTTTTCGTAATTTCTGTTGTTTGGGAGTTGTCACTTGTGACCGACTTTTGGCTTCCGGTTTCTTAATTTCCATGTCAGATTTGATATTTCTGCCTTTTCCCCCTAGGATCACTAACGAACCATCACTGTTGTACTTGGCTAACTGGCCTGTTTTATGAAGGGTTGCTTGCCTTCCTGGAATATCCCGATGACCAGCAGAAAGCCATTTGGTACCGCCGATTTGAATGGAAGTGTTTGTTGGGAAATCCCCTTCGATGACGAGCTCTCCTATTCCCCCAAGCGGGACTAACTGTTCCGAATCTTCAGGAGCAACTATCCAAGTTGCAGTTGCATCTGAATAGTCATGACCCAAGACTACCTCATCTCCACTATTTGGTTTGTAGGTATTGCTGAAACGCCATATCTCAGCTAGCTCTTCGTCTGTCATTGGTAGCAAATCGCTGACAAGGGCATTCCCATTTTCACATAGTTGTTGTACGGTTTGTCCGAATTGCCCCAACACCTTATCCATTTGACAGACGTCGATTGTGGCCGAATCAAAGCTGGCCATGACCAGGAAACCTTTGGGATCCAACGAGCAAACCAACATAAGAGCATATGTGTTGAATTTCAATGCCTCGCGGGCAGCGTCCTCATCTCCGGCTGGGACAAAACCATTGGCTGGTCCATCTCCCGTCAGGTTCGTGCCATCCTCCGTTGTGGTTGGGTGAATGACAATGCCGGTCCTCAACTCGCAAGCTTCGCGCGCGTCAGGGCTCAGGCGTCTGATATGCTGCAGTCCCATGTGTTCATGGGGGATACGAAGTATACTGCCATCGTGGATTCTTCGTAGATACTCGCTAACCCGTGTATTTCGGTCAAACCGTACCCGCACGGGGACGGTGGTAATCATGGGCCCTTCAATTTTTTCAATACCTACAACAGGTGCATTTCTCCCTGTAAGAGTTTCCCCAAACACGACATCATCGGATAAGGTATATTTTCCTACAACCAAAGCCCAGGCCGCTCTGATAGAGGTCGCAATGCTGGTACATGATGCCGATGTCTTCCCTAGCGGGAAGTATTGTTCCAATAGCGATTGAGCCTGTGTTTGATATCCAGCCCGCGGGAGAGCTGGGAACTGCAAACCGTTCGCTCCTTGCAGTTGTTCCTTCCAGTATATCTCGGAATCTTTATGGTTGAGGCCGCTGAGGTGTTTAATAAAGGAGTTGAAAGCGACTGATCTTTCTGATTCCTGGTTGTTAAACGCCCTATTAACGCGCCGCACTACCAATGGCATAGACCAACCATCATACAAAGCATGATGTATTGTCAAGACAAAATGGACTTTGCCTGTTGTCTCATTTGAAGTAACTGCAAAACGCGCGAGCGGTGTGCCTAATCCCATTGATTCATTCCGGTCTTTAACCAAGTACTCTTCTAGGGTCGTGCCTGCACGCCATGTGATCCCATCTTTCAAAACAACTTGCATGAGACCATGGCCGGGAACCTGCACTATGCGTGTGCGTAATATTGGGGAGTCTGCAGCTGCAGTTTCGAACGCCCTTTGGAGCCGCTGCGCTGTTTGGGAATTTGCTAGTTCGACAACTCGCTGAGCAACATACGCTTCGCTGACTTTGGCAGAAAGGGCCATCAAGCCTTCTTGCAATGGCGTACAAGGGTAGACATCCATGACCGATGTTGCGTCAATTCCGCAGAGTTTTGCCGTTTCGATGCGTGCATTGTTCTCTTTCCAGTGTGAATCCAAGAGGGAAAATGGCGGCACATCGATTTCTGCTTCGGAATCAGAATGCTTCAGGGTTATAGCCAGTTCTGCTAAGGTTGGATGCCGGAATATATCAGCTACGCTGGTAAGAAGGTTCTCCGCGCGTGCAGCGGCCACCAGTTTCATTGCCATGAGAGAATCTCCTCCTAAGTCGAAGAAATTGCTCTGTACATCAATCTCCGCTTCAGCGCCGAATAGACCTTTCCAGAGATGTGCCAATTGTCGCTCCCTCTCTGACTGCGGCTCCTTCTGTGATGAGAAAGTCTTATGCCTAATAAGCTCTTTTCTTGACATGGCAGACCCAAGACTGCGTAGCTTCTTGCGGTCTACTTTACACGATACGAGTAATGGCATTTCAAGCAGAGGTATATATGCTGCTGGCACCATATACCGAGGAAGCACACTCCCAAGCGCCTTATCCATCACTTCTAGGGAATGACGGAGCTCCGTGGAGAAGGTCGCTATTTCTTTATTTGTCTGGGATTTCGTGGTGGTTTTCTCTGCGATAAAGGCGACCAAGGTTGGCTGATCCCCTTTCCCTCCTGGTGTGATAACCTCCGCAGCAACGACGTTTCCAGCTGGTAGCCTGGTCCGTAAGTGGTGTTCCACCTCTCCGAGCTCTACTCGCTGCCCTCTGAGCTTTACTTGCTGGTCGCCTCTGCCCACAAAAACTATTGAGCCCGAGCCATCTGGATCATATTTGACTAGATCTCCCGTTTTATAGAAACGTCCATGTCTTCCAGGGTATCCTTGGCAACCGGAAAGCAGCCACATTGGGTCTTCAATGAATACAGATGAAGTCCGTTCGGGGTCGTTAAGGTACCCCCGCCCCACAATCGGACCCTCTATAATAAGCTCGCCAATTGCTCCGATAGGCATCAGACGATTATGGTCAGTTGGGTCCACCACCCATGTAACACCACCAACACCCTTCCCGATGCTAGTATATGCTCGATCAAGTGCGATTTCATTGTTAATTGTACAGCCAACCGTGCACTCTGACGGCCCGTAGGCAATAATAACCTTTGTCAATTTGCCCCAGTTTGCCGCATCTCGGACGGAAACGGATTCTCCCCCAAGACCTAGAACCTCAAGAGAAGACAAAGTATCTTCTCCGAGGACCCTTGCAACGGACGGTGTCATATGAGCCATGTTGACTTTCATGTTTCTTATTGCGCCACTAAGATTGTTCACTCGATCGTCTTCGGATGGCACACAGACACACCCTCCATGGGCGAGAGTGCATAACATGCAATCAATACTGACATCGAAAGCGTAAGATGGAAAGTCGAGTACCCGTGAGTGTGGACCATAGCCTACAGCTTCAGCTCTCGGCAAAGCGCCGCTAGTATAATTCGCGTGTGATATTACCACACCCTTTGGTTTTCCTGTACTTCCTGATGTGAAAATGGTATATAGGGGAGAAGACCCAGGAACAGATGGTAGGTCGGTTGCAGAAGCTGGCGGCAGTACTGACGTCTGGATTTGTTGGAAAAAATCACGATTAACCACAATCACGCCTCCAGCTAAAATTCTCTTTCCCAACTCCTCCTGCCGTTCCGAAGTTAGCATCAGATTCGCACCCACTTCTGTCGCTATTGTCTGCAATCGCGCCTCAGGTTGACTCGGGTCTGTGAGCACCAATGTGCCGCCTGACTTCATAACGGCGAGCACTGCAACAACAGTCCACATTGACTTTTCGAAACAAAGTAAGACATGGTTTCCAAATTTGACACCTAGTTTAATGAGATGAATTGCCAGCAGCGTCGAAAACTGATCAACTTCTCCGTAAGACAATTCGCCATCCCACGAAACAACGGCCTGACGACTAGGATCCCTTCGCGCCTTTTGCACAAAAATATCATGGATACAGTCGTCAAGTGTTTGAGGGACAGATGCATTCCATTTCCACAATTGCTGCAATTCGCGGTCACCAAGCTGCATGGCCTGCCTGATTGTCTGGTCTGTGTTTTTGAGGATTGAGTCGAGAATATCCATGAATCCGGAGCACTGGATGTGAACAGCATGCAAGGATAGCGTGGCATGTTGGCCGTGTTGCTTCATCAATAATTTCGGATTCGATGCTAGTGCTTCGACGTAAAATGGCAACTGCATACTCGATTTAGCCGAGAGAATCAAGAGCAGTCATGAAGTCAATAATACTTACATCTTCACTGCCATTCTCTGTTTGAGTGGTAATTGTGAACAAAATGGAGTAGGTGGATGGTTGCGTATGTTCGTTATTTGAGGTAGTGGTCCGTCTGGCGCGAATGGAGGCAAGTGCTTTCGTTACGGGGTCGCTCTCCGCCAAAACGATTTCATTGATATTGCTTGAGAAACCTTTTAGAATCGAATTCTCATCGGTTGGTGCGACCTTCAGACTCCATGAGAATTCTCCATCATCGCTGAGACCATTATCTCGGTACAGGAATAAAGTCCAGGCCAAAACTAAAAGATCAATCTGATCCTCAAAACCCTTGAGAAATAAGAGGGAATTCTCCATAAAAACCCCATCTGTTACTCGACCACTTGCAGAGAAGTCAAATTGGGCATTCCCATCGACCTTATTGCCGTTGCAAGCAGGTAAGTGCATGTTCATGACTAGAATCAATGGACAATCGTCTTCCGTATTACTGTCTACCTTCATGAGGCGAGGTTTATCCCCTCATAATCTATAGACAGATATGGATAAGATGGTGTACCTTTGCACCGGGCTAATTTTATACTTTCCCTTTCTCGTATATCTCCCGCGAATCTCAACAGTCCTGCCCGAGTTGCATTCTTCAGTCATTTTCCGTTCAACACTTCCCTATGTCAGTACCATCACCTAACTGTGGAGAGCGAAAGCGTCTTACGGGTCTGTCAGAAATATGGTAAGTTACAGCGGGGGCTCCACATCTTTTTGTTCCCGCTGATCTCTAGAAGAGACATTTCCGTCACCGTTGTATGGGAAATTTTGCAAACCATTTCGTACGATTTCCATTGTAATAAGAATCGAAACGGCTTGTACGAACTACGGCGTGACGTACAGTGGGAAAGAACCGAATCCAGGATGGTGATGATGATGATGATGCCATTCAAACCGAGCCTAGCCGTGGGAATTTTTGTGAGTTCAGTTCTGCATGGGCGGCATAGAGCTCCACAAAAGTACGGAACCAGAAATTAATGTGGGTATGAGATATGATCATGGGGCAAGGGGATGCAAGAGTTTTTTCTTTCCCTGGATAATGATTGACAGAGCAATTCCTGTTGGGATCGAAGCAGAATGCGGCTGCTTGGCGGGGCAGACATCGTATGATCTGATAAGACGGAACCAATCTCCGATACCGGGGTCCCGGTTAATAGAGTTATCTGATCCTGCCCATGTGGACACTCTTGACGTTGTGTAACAGTAATTCGGCGTTTTCCCACAGTCCCCACGCTATCGTATTGTTATGCACATATACAAACCATTTCTGAAATAAATACGGATCTGATAAGGTTCGTATCCAAACATCATACCACCTCACACAACGCTACTGTGCTCCCCTACGGCATTGGTGCAATTGACCCACAAAACGCGAAACTAGAAAAAATGAGAGCAAGAGAAACTTCGCAGCATGGGGCCTAGAATCCTCAGAGCTATCGAGGGCCATCCGCCTGGGGGAGACATCGAGCTTCATCGAGAGCCACTTTCCGTTCTCGCCATGAATCAACTCTTCCTGGTGTTTGCTTTCATAAACTCGCATTGGAAATTGCGGTACTTGAGCAGAGGAGTTTGTTTTCCTGCTACCAAACACAGATATGACTGAGGCGTCGGAAGATTTGGCTGCCGGAGAGTCAAAAACTGCGAAGAGCCGAAGGGTACTGATAATCATCTCAAATACAAATGTTATAAGCACAGCTAACTCTGTGACGACTGGATAGATTATTCGAAGGGCTACTAGATATGTCCGCCTTCTCTTTTATGCAGAGCCGACAACCGTTGACCTTATTCTCCTCACACTTGGTATACTAGCCGCGATTGCTTCAGGAGTGCCATTCCCTCTTATGGGTATTATCTTCGGCCAATTGGTTGACAATCTTAATTCTGCATCTTGCAACACCGATTCTCAAAGAGGCTCAGCATATCAATCAGAAGTTAATGACAAGGCACTCAAAGTCGTCTATGTTGGAATCGCTTACTTTGTCTTGGTATATATCTATGTCGCTTCGTGGAATTTGTTTGGTGAGCGCCTGGCCCAAAGACTTCGTGAGCGGTATTTCAAAAGTCTATTACGGCAGGATGCTTCATTCTTCGACAATATGCCAGCTGGAGAAGCTGCATCTCGACTCACGAGTGACATAACGACAATCCAACAGGGGACATCTGAGAAAGTAGGCATTGTCCTCAATAGTGTATCGTTTTTCATCACCGCTTATATCATCGCTTTCGTCAAAGATGCAAAACTTGGTGGGGAGTTAGTGTCTCTAACGCCAGCCTATCTGCTAATGTCGCTTGTTGGCGGTTACTATACTCAGAAATACGCATCGGCTATGCTGAAAAACGTTGCTGGAGCATCATCCGTTGCGATGGAAGCACTGTCAAACGCAACAATTGTGCATGCATTCTCGGCAAACGCTCAGTTAGAATCGAAATTTGCAGGCCTGTTGGGCAATGCAAAGGTAGCTGGAATTAGAAAGGCAATTTCTATCGCTGTCCAGTCGGGATTGCTGTATTTTATTGCATTCTCCGCAAATGGATTGGCATTCTGGCAAGGCTCGAAAACGATCGCGGATGCAGTTGCCTCCGGTAACCCTGGATCATCAGTTGGGACTACATACACCGTGATTTTTTTGTTGGTCGATGGTGAGATATTCAATATTAAAGTATCCAGTATCCAGTAGGCTAACTGAAGTTTTAAAAGCTACTTTGATCCTTAGCCAAGTCGCTCCTTTTGTTCAAGTCTTCGATGCTGCAGGAGTGACCTTCGAAAGTTTGGAAGCTGATATCAACCGGGAACCGAAAATAGATGGCACAGTTGAAGGCACTGGAAATTCTCTCCGAAACGTTTCCGGTAATATTGAGCTGAACAATGTTTCCTTTGCATTTCCGTCCCGGCCAGATAAACCTGTGCTAGATAATGTGTCAATGTCATGTGCAGCTGGACAACATACCGCAATCGTTGGTCTATCCGGGAGCGGGAAGTCGACCGTAGCCGGCCTAATAGCACGATTATATGACCCAACAAATGGGGAAGTGTCTTTCGCTGGGCAGAACATCAAAGATCTCAATGTTCGATCTTTGCGAAGCAATCTCAGTCTTGTCCAGCAAGAGCCATCACTCCTCGACCGATCCATCCTTGAGAATATTGCCTTGGGACTAATTAATTCTCCATCTCACTCTCACCTGTCCCCAGCCTTGCTTGGAGGTAAACTTTCCGATATTGCAACTGCCGTCAGGAATGGACGGGATCTAATCGAAGAAGCAGAGATGCATGGTCAAGAGACTGCAAAAATCATAGATCTGGTGCGTAATGCAGCGGATCTCGCTGATGCGAGTGCTTTTATCGGTCGTCTAAAGGATGGGTATGGTACTCTTGTCGGTTCTGCAGGTAGCCTGATATCAGGAGGTCAAAAACAAAGAATTTCCATTGCTCGTGCTTTAGTTAAAGAGCCTAAACTTTTGATTCTTGATGAAGCGACCGCTGCTCTCGATTCTACTAGTCAGCAACGTGTCCAATCCGCGATTGAGAAGGTAATGAGCGGAAGGACGTTAATATCCATTGCCCATCGTCTATCCACCATAAAGAACGCCGATAATATTATCGTTATGAATCAAGGGAAAGTTGTTGAGCAGGGGACTCACTCGGAGTTGATATCAAGCGATGGCGCATACGCTGGTCTAGTTCGTCTACAGAATCTCAATATTCGTCCTGAGGAAGAGAATGTTTCGAGTGAGTCATTGGCAACAAAGGACTCCTATGACAACATAATAGAGAAGGCTGCCGAAGCTAGTCTTGACGAAAGGCGCTCATTGGAGACATCTGCGCGGAAAGGAGAAGACAACAGCGATGGTATTAATGCGAAACGGTCTTTATCGTCAACCCTGAAAGCCGTGGGTCCAATGTTGCGGCCGCATATGCTCTTCCTTTTCCTAGCACTGACCAGCGCTTTCGTAGTTGGTGGCACATATTCAGCCTCTGCAGTTGTCTTCGGCAACACGATTGGTGGGTTGAGCCCATGCAAAACTGCAGATTCCATCAGGTCTGCTGGTAAATTTTACGGATTGATGTTTTTCATCCTCGCCATTATCGAGTTTTTCGCTAATCTGGGAAGTTGGTCAGCATTTGGCTGGGTTGCAGAGAAAATTACTTACAAAGTTCGAGTGCTCTCGTTCAGGGCCCTCATGGAGCAGGACTTGCAGTGGCATCAGTCGGATGGAAGAAGTCCTACTGTCCTCCTTTCAATCATCACCCAAGATGGTAATGCTCTATCTGGTCTCACGGGATCGGTTGTAGGTACCATTATTGCTATACTAGTAAATCTGGTCGTCGCAATTGCGTTATCCCATGTAATTGCATGGAAGATTGCACTGGTCTGCCTCGCTGTTGTCCCATTGATGCTGGGCGCGGGTGTCATGCGAGTCATAACAATGACGCAGTTTCAAGAGCGCCATGCCAGGGCGTTTGAGAAATCACTTGGAATAACGGTTGAAGCCGTCAATTCGATCAAGACTATCTCTGCTCTTTCTCTGGAACACGAAATTTTGAGAACCTATCGACGCTCCCTAAAAGGCCCGACAATGGAAATTGCGCAGCAAAGCGCCTATGCCAACCTTTGGCTAGCAATTTCGTACGGCGTGAGCAATTTCTTGTATGCGCTTGCCTATTGGTGGGGAGCTAAGAGAATTATTGCAGGCGATTACTCACAGACGCAGTTCTTTATTGTGCTCATGGCTCTCCTCGTGAGCGCACAGCTCTGGGGCCAAATGTTCACACTAGCCCCAGATGTGTCGCGTGCCTTCACCGCGCTCGCTCGAATTCTGAACCTCCTTGACCTCGGATCGACCAAGAATCTTTCTGGTCCATGCCAACATCTGAAACCGGGCAATGACCTCGAAGCCAACGCCGAGCCACGAGAGAAACGTCCCGATCAAAGTCAGGGAGGAATCAGCGTTTCTCTGAACAACGTGAAGTTCTCGTACCCAGCGCGTCAAGACGTTCTAGTCCTTGAGGGTTTGGATATTAATATTAAACCGGGCCAGTTTGCGGCGTTAGTCGGCCCAAGCGGCGCAGGCAAATCAACCATCGTATCTCTGATCGAGAGGTTATATACACCAACCTCAGGCAGTGTCCATATCGATGGCCAAGACATCTCAACCCGTGAAGGAGTATCGTTCCGTGATAACATCGCTTTTGTCCCACAGGACAGCGTGCTTTTCGAAGGCACTATCCGATTCAATGTTGCCCTTGGAGCTCGCCCTGGCCACAAGCCAACAGATGCAGAAATTGAAGAAGCTTGCCGGTTGGCAAATATTCATGACACCATTGTTAACTTGCCGGAAGGGTATAACACTAACTGTGGACCCAGTGGAAATCAGCTGTCAGGCGGGCAGAAACAGCGACTCGCAATTGCCCGCGCACTTGTCCGGAAACCTCAGCTGCTTCTCCTGGACGAATCGACAAGTGCCCTCGACGCAGAATCCGAACAGCTTCTCCAGGCCGGCTTAGAGAAAGCCACCAAAGGTATGACTGTTATCGCCATCGCGCATAGGCTATATACGATTCAGAAAGCAGATGTCATCTTCCTCATCGAAGATGGAAGATGCACTGATAAAGGCACCCATGCAGAGTTAGTGGAACGGAGCGAAAGTTATAAAATCAATGCATTACATCAGGCCTTCGAGTAACATGGGACAAACAGTTGATGCTGTCAATTTATTACCGGGTGTTTGTGCTTGCGGGGAACTTAAATAAAAAAACATAGAGGTTTTGCATCGAAGTTATTTTAGATCTAACTTTCTTAATTTATAGTAACTACTCTTTTACTTCATTTTGCAATAATCCAGAGCCAAGTTTATATTCCACGTTTAAACTCCCATCTCTTTCCCCCTCGCTCGCAAATTAAAATATAACTTCTCAATATAACCTCTGGAAATAGGAGAATTCAACTAGTTTATCAGAGATGAATGATATATATATATATATAAATATCCCGTTGATTAACTAGTAAAATGCTGTCCTTTGTATGAAATTTTACCATCTCTCCCAGGCACCAAAACACCATAGCCTAAAGTCATTTCGGCGCCTCTCCAAGCTTCAAATACCTCCAGCAAACTACACATATTACAATTAGTAAACAATCGACTACGCAATAAACATACCTCATAAAATAGAAGAGAGGCGAAGGATACATACTTCCAAATCCCAAATCATCTTCAAAGAAGATCTTGGCGATTTCCTCTCCTGACACCACGCCTTGCTCAGCCCCATATGCGACAGTGTTCTTCCCCACTGCCACCGCCATAGACGGCGGCGCATGCACCATTTCGGAAAATTTAGGCTTCGTCCCAAACCGCTCATTTAGCAGTTGCTGGTAGATATTCATCCCGACGTAGTGTCCGTGGTGCATGGCCCGGCCGGCCCGTTTGATGCCAGACCACAGGGCGAGGTCCCCGGCCGCGAAGTGGTATTTTGCATTTGGAACTTCATCGGTGAAGTTTAGACTATTGGGTTTGTGTTAGCAGCGGTAAATATTTCCTTTTTGTTACCCCGTTATTTGTGTTGATGCTCCTTACGCTGAATTAACCTTCACATAGCCCTCTTTGTCAAGGACGCTGCTAGGCAGGTATGCTGTTGTTGGACTGTATTTTGAGATGGCATTGATGACATAGCCTGCCTTAATAGTCCGCCCATCTGTTAATGAAAGAGTATAGCTTGGAGTTGCCGCCCCATTTAGCTCAGTTTGGGTTGTGCGAATTACCCGTGAGCCCAAAATGGTTTCGACGCCAGTCTCGTGAAGCAGTTCAAGGGCCCGATCACGAAATTCATCAGGAAGAGGTTCCGATGACAGAAGTTTGGCCCTTGAATGGATAAGGGTGACCCTTAGGTCTGGGTGCATCTCTTTCAGCTCGCTTGCCATTTCGATGCCGACGGCTCCTGTAGAAATCATTCACCTCGTTAATGCAGTCCACATCTGTGCCAACGGAGTATCGTAATGTGGATTTGAAAACCTACCACCTCCGATGACTACGACGCCACCGTTTGCCATTTTGATTTTCGCAATATGCTCCCCTACCTCCTCCAAATAGTTATCCTTATTCAGAGATTGGGGAGCACTTGGCCAAGTTCGTCTCAGCCCAGAGCTTGCAACCAAGTAGTCATACTTCTGGCTGATCTCTTTGTCGGTGCCAGTTTCCTTGATAGTGGAGATTTTTCGCTCGCAGTCCACACGAGTGACACTACCCTGTATGAATTTTATAGCTGGCGTCTGTAGAGCGGGAATGTCTGCAAACTTTCTCCAGGCCGACAGGGCATACTCTTCCGACGCAAACGCGAGGGGAGTCCCAATAAGATGGACTTTTACAACGATTCCCGTTTTGTTACTTACTCAGTTTCGGTTATTTGATGGAGTGTTGCGAGTGGACTTACAGTAGCCATCTCGTTCATCCACTATGGTTATTTGGATAGGGACTCTCTCTCTCCTTTCTGCTGGTTCAGAAATCTCAGGATCCAAGGCGCCAGCAAATCTGCAACTTCGACCTTGGCATAGATCCAGGAGGTTCAGAGCTGCCGCAAGCCCAGAATATGAACCACCTACCACAAGGACATCTTTCGGTCTTGTGGTGCTGGACGAGCCTATAGATCCCTCGTTACTAGGCATGGTAAGACGCCGACGTTGGAATGGCCTGTAGAGACGGAGAACGCTGAGAAGTGATGAGGCGGATAATTTGATATAGGTAGATATACGCTGATAGAAGAGCGATAGCATGGTATGGTTGATTGTAGGACAGCAGCAGAATTAGACATTCAGACACGTCTTCCCAATTGTGGGAGGTGTTTGCCCAACAAAAACATCCTGCGACAATTTATGACTTGCAATTGCTACGGCGGAACTAAATCCGGTATCACAGGCTAGGTACTATACAGTTCCGTAACTATACCCCGAATCACACATGGCGATATTTTTTTGCACCTGGAGATGGCTCCTCCATTTTTTGCCGTTTTGTTATCTGATCCGAGGTTTGTTGGGAAAGGGGTTATCTGATCCGTGTGCCCTGGTATTACTCTCCGATTCGTCAATTTTCCGAGCATGTGGATCCTTTGAAACATAAGTCTTTACGCAACAACCGCGTATGGAACCATTTCAATACAACCGTATCGTATGTATCAAATGCATGTATTGTATATAATACGGGCCCAAAAAAAAACATAGCCCCATGGAACCTTGGAAGACTAGTTTTTGTTATCAGATTATCTTGATGAAACGTGAATCCCACTAGAATAAAGAGTTGAGAAAAAATTTAGGATGCTGGGTGACCCCAAAACAAAGCGGTGACATCACCTGGAGAATTCATTTTGGGGCTTTTCTGGAGGTTTATTTTATTTTATTTATTTATTTTTTTTTGGCACCGTTTATGAAAGGGTGTTGACAAACAATCCCATGCGGCCATTGTTCCTGTCACATTGAAGGGAACCAACTTGAATATATGTATGTATATCAACAGATCACAGCATAAAGGTAAATTATATCTTTGCACCGCCATACCTTAGATAATGAAGTATGCACCTCTTACCTGATCCACATCAAACCGATTCTCGTCGCTGAAGAGTCGGCATAATACCATCCTCACTTCGACCGTCGAAGGGCGTAGAGAAGCGTCATTCCGCAAACTCAGACCAATTCTGCCTTCGATGTGGTTGATATGTAATTTGCAATTGTCCGTTTTCACCAGCTGCTTGGGCCTCACCTACCTTCACAGCGTCGCTGAAATCACATAGCCTAATTGACCATCCGTGCGAATGTAGGCGGGCTAAAACCGCATATCGCTGTGAATAATTCCTTTCTGATGGGATTCGCTTAAGACGGAGGTAGGTAATTTGGTCTATCAAATCCTTGCAGCGAGATTGTTCCCAAGTTTTAGCCAGAAGGGATTGGTTTGAAGATTCATGACAAAGAAGCCCATTCCTATCTCTCCCTCCCTATTCTTCTAGAAAAATGCGCCACGGGCGCTATCGTGAATTAGAACTCAAAATTGAGAGTCTTTGCATCAATTGCAACAATGACGTCTGCGCAGTCCATATCTGCAGCTCAATACCTGATCTGCCCTTGTTGTCTTCCTTTATTTTCATTTATTTAAATTAATGAGTGATCCGTCCTTTCTCATTTGGAAACAGACAGAAAATGCTTTTTTGAAGTTGTGTTGTTATTCTGTCACAAACATTGGAATCCAATCCCACACTTCTAGTATCTATGAGGAATGCTCCTCTGTATATGGGAATTCTTGAATTCCCGCCCCCAGGCTGAAGGATCCGTTGACATGCATTTCGCCATTTCCTACATACTGTTGAATGTGCTGTTTACCGCCTCGGCGCTCCCTTTGTTTTCCTCTGAGAGCAGCTTACACCCGATTCGGAGGTCGGATATCAATATAAGCGTATCCAAGAGATTCCAACCAGACTGTATTATCGGCTAGTTCCATGATCTATTTTTTGACTAGATCAGTAGGCTCCTTCGTCGTCGGCATGTCGATGCAATCGCAACAGCTACAGCCTTCACGAGCATAATGCGTACTCGAAGGTACTAATTTAGCAGGCCGCCACTAAGACATGGAAGGAATTTACCTGGGAACACTAGAAAGCCGTGCGCAATTGTGGGGATGCGCTGTGTTCCTCAACGAGAGGGCCGCAAGCATCGTTACTTGGGGTATTTTCAGGACAATGCGCTCATTAATCTTGTGAACCATTCAAATAGTCCCTAGAGAGAGGAACTAGTAGCGTACTAGTCTTGGTGGTTCCGAAATAATCTCCGTGTTGACTGGTAAAGAAGTGAGGGATGGGGAGACCAGATACGCAAGGAGTCGATTAGTTCCATAACAGCCGTCAGGTCTTGCCAGACTCCATCTAAATTCGGATTCTACAGCTTCTCTCACATCTCCATAGTTCCACAAAAACATGCGGTTGAAGACATTGTACCAAGTTAGAAGAGGGTCTTGAACCGCGGCTGCCAGCAGGCCAGCCGGACTCCCCATTCTATACGGACAACCGAGTGCGAGGACTGGATGCGCCTCGAGGTCGAATGGCCATCACATGCTTAGGAGACCATCGTTTCGGTTCGGAGGCCATGAGAATGCCAGTTATAAAATCCAGGCAATTCATGTATGACCAGGAAGGAATAGTGTCAGAAGCGGTGGTCAACTTCATGGCAATGGCGAGGGTTCTGCTGCCCCAATGGCACTCCCTATAAGGGGACATCCATCAGACTGAGTTGGCCTCAATTTGGTGGCCACCCCCAAATATGTACAAACCACCAGGGGTCCAAACCAGTCGAATGAGGTGGAGACCCACCCAGGTTGTCTCCAGCTGTGGATATGATGTTGTTCACCCCAGAGGAGGTGGATGTTGTGGCATTCGCCAGTCGCCTGGAATTCATGGTCACTCATGGGTAAAGCCCAGGACGATGGTTACCACTATCATTAGACGATATAACTATGCGAGGAAATAGATAATTTGAGCCGTGCAGCTTTTCTTTTTTCACATAGGCGAATTTCGTCTGCAATGATTGAAATAAGGAAAATTGGCTAGCGAAGAAAGTTGAATGGCAACCAAATATTCTAGATATCACGTCCGCGGACGAATTAAGTCTACTAAATAGAAGCAGAAATTTTCTATCGCAAGGGAGCCTATAGGATGGAAATGAAAAATAGGGGAAAGAGCCAAAACAAAGGAAGAAAAAGGAAATCAAAACCAAAGGCAAAAAAATACCCGGATGCGAGCAGTGTGAAAGCTAAACAAATTTAATGTAATGCCATGATTTGCAAATGGTAAATGCCGCGTTGGGTATCGTGCATGATACAAACAAAAATGCAGGGTAGCATATGAAACGTACAAGGGGATGGGAGGAGATACTATACCTCGAGGGAAAATCGAAAATGAAACGGAGTATGGAGTATCGTACGCTATCTATCAACAGAGTCTAGAAAACCTTGGGCCCAATTCTTTAACCATTGGATTCTATCGAGAAATTTGTCCCACAATGATGACGAGCTCGTCGAAGCGCTGGTGTCTTTTTCGCCATGTTTGGGCGTGGATGTAGGATCCGGTGAGCCAGAATTCAGTATCGTTGTTGGCGAATTGCTGGAAGCAGTTATTTGGAGTTTGGAGGTAATAACAGCACTGCTAGGGCCTGTATTAATGGGAGGATCATCTGGTGAATTGGCACTTGGAAAGTCTTCGGGGGAATGAAAACCAATAGGATTTAGAGGGAGGCGGAGAGTTCCGTTATTTGGGTGGGCTTCTATTTCCAAGGAGTCACAGATGATATTGTATACTTCGGTATTTTCTAGCGTGCATCCTTTTAGTTTGGTTTTAAGCCGTAAGATTTGCTAGAGGGGTAGAACTTACGGAAATTTTCCACACGGCTATTGGGGTGGTGAGGGAACTTAGGGCCGCGAGCAACAAAAATTGCTCTCATGAGAGGGTGTTCGTGATCATATCCATGAAGGCCTCTCGGGTGATAAACTGTTTTCTTCATTTTCGCATCCTGAACATTGAAGGTTGACTTTTCAACGACCGCCCACCCTGTTTTTGGTACTACCCATAACGGCGCAATACGATCGTTACTGGAGAAGTGATAGCGATCAGGCATCGTTTCCCGAGTGTAAACATCGATGGAGTCATTGTATTGTTTGGATGATTCCGCCAGCTGCTGCTTCAGTATTTCTAGATCTTCAGGTCTTTTAGGACGGATGCCCTGAAGGGGCCATCCATCAAGGCGGTCCACCAAATCCACGTCAATGATATCGTCTAACTGGACAAGACGATCAGTTGAAGTAGTGGCCATACCATGGTCAGATACGACGACGATATTGACCACGTCGGTCAGATTGCGACTGTGAAGCCCTTTGAAAATTTCTGCAAGCATTTCATCCACACGAGCTAACGTACTTCGGATTTCAGTACTATTCGGACCGAAAGTATGTCCATCAGAATCAACGTGAGGCACATAAGCGGCTATTAGTTGTGGTCGTCTATCAGTATCCGATGACAGGTCCTGTGCTTCTTGGTCGCCAGGCAAGTCCAAAAATGAGAGCACTCTCTTGGCTTTGCTAGCTAAGTCCTCTTTTGCATTAAATTTATCAAGGTACGTGGGTTCAATGTTACCGATGTGGGCTTCCGAACCTGGCCACATGTGAATCGCTGTGCGAACCCCTTGCTTTTCAGCAGTCACCCACACTGGTTCTGCAGTCCACCACTTTGGATCCAGGCTTCTTGCCGGATCAGTATAATAAAAATCTTCCCGCAGGACCGGATCCCAGAAGGAATTACCCACGATACCATGGCTTTCAGGGTAAAGCCCAGTCACTAGTGTAAAATGATTTGGGAATGTTACACTAGGGAAACTGGGAAGCATGTAGGCTGGGGAAATTCCGTTGGCGATAAAGGAATTGAGGGCTGGAGTAAGACCGCGATTGAGAAAGTCGGCTCGAAAACCATCCAAGGAGATCAAAATCGTTGTTGGAGCGAAGAGAGAGGTGCCATTCGACAACAGGGTGCGTGGCTGGCGGGCGGATCGGAAACTGCTTGATTCCTTGTATGCGCCCAAGTATAGAATAAGGAATAAAACCACAATCCCCGTAGATAATATGGATACCTTGAAACACCATGAACCCCTCGACTAAAGCGGAGATATATGAATTAGCAAGAGTAGCCAAGAATCACAAGACAAACAGCATTGTCGGCATCAAAACCAGGGACATAGGATTTCATACCGATTTGTAACCAGGATGAATCAAAATCGAAGACCCTCCCGACGAATGGGAGCTTGTATTGTCATCAATGTTGCCTTCTTCCATCTCGAACATCAGACCCATCTCCTCTCCTTTCTCTTCCATACGCTTTATCCGATCTGCTCTTCGCTGTAGACGTCGTTGCCTTCTCCTCTCCTGCTTCCCAATGCGCACGCTGCTGCCATTATCATGACCGAATATCCTCCGTAGCCCATGTGTTGGGCTTTGCTTAACGAGAAGCCGCTCACGTTCTTCCTCCTCCTCCAGAACAGTTCTGTCATGCTGGGACAATTCCAGGGTTGTCCTAGAGCCTTTTATAAGTTCATCGTCTTCCGAATCAGAGTCCTGATCGGACAACGATCTCAGAGAAATAGCATCAACATCGTCGTCGTATGCGGTTGGTGAGAGGAGTGATGGGCTGGGTGGAGGTTTTCGAAGCGGCATTGTTTCCCTTGAAAATCAAGATCCCGAACCAAAGTTGGACCAAATTCCCTGCGTTACTCTATGTTCAGCATCGCAATAGCGTCGTAGCAATATGCCATAATGCTATAGAGAGAGTAACGACTAACGAGGGTTGGTTCAGTGCAAAAGGAACCTGGATGTAGTGGAATATTACGGCTTGATACAATATTACATCATGGTCAGGATTGGAACGGAATAACTACGTCCCGGCCTATGAACCCGTAAGTTGAAGTATCACAATCACCAGTGAGTTACGGGGCTCTGTGCAGTCGTTGAACGTGTGCAGAAATGGAAAATCAACTTCTCTAACCACGCTCAACTCGGTCCCGAACAAATAAGTTCAATTGATGCTAGCTCGAGCTCTGCTTTAGGTTTTCATACATGATTAAATCTTGGTCGGTGTAAAATTCAGTTTTATAAAATTATAGTTATTTACCAAATATTCTGGTGGGGCTTCAGAACATTCCACATATTCAAAACAATCCAGCTAATAAAGAAAAGTCCAGGTAGGCACAGTTGATCCTGAGGCAAGGCAGAGCAGAACCTCGCCGAGCGTGGCCATATCTCTGGGCGCTGCGGAGTTTGTGGATACGAGATGACTCAAGCCATGCTGCAGAACATCGCATTTCGGGCCCCTGCACTTCCATACATAAACACAGTTGACAACCCCAAACACCACCCACCAGGAACCATGGGACAATTTTAGCACTGCCAAAATACATTCTCCTGTGAGATTTTGCTGGAATGCTGTTTTGCTTGATCCCTTGAGCCCTCTCCAAGAGCCATTGAGGCAGAACTTCGTTGCAATCATTTTATGGCTGCCCAAATGTCGCAAAGCGGCCAGCCGCAAGCGATGGAAAATGTGAGATATAATCTTGCCGAAAATGAGAATTTCCCACCATGAAGAGAGGGATAGACTTTCGAACTGATGTTAACAAATAGGAACCTAACCCTTTGGCCAACAACTGTATGGTTGCCCTCTCCATGACACTCCCGTGGACGAGATTCCCTCCTGTGTACACTTGATGTGGACTAGGGGTCAAGGAGAAAAGTATGATGTTAATTTCATGTTACGAAATTACAGATGATGCCATGATGGCCAAGTTGCTACCAGTCGACCCGACCTTGGAGACGGCGGATCAATCCCACTTCACCTGGTGTTTACCAAACTGGACGAAATTAGAAAAAACGGAACTGGGCCCGAAATTTGAGTGCGGTGGATCCAGATGGTATGTCGTCGATCAAGAAGTTATATAGAGAGTTTTGGACTACCCTAATACGAGTAGGCGGGTTCTCCTCCACCCATATGGAAATCAGCAGAACCAGCATTTATCTATCTACCTTAAACATGGTTTTGATGAAGGAGAACTACCGGTCCACTGGAATGCCTGTGTCCAGTTCTCTTTAGTCCTGTGGAATACCACTAGCCCAGAAGCCTACATTTCACAACGTAAGTATCCATCCACCCTAACCTCTTTCCAGCATCGTCTAATTTACATTGTTCTAGAGGCAAATTTTCGCTTCACAATTGACAACCCAGATTGGGGCTTCACAAAGTTTTGTGAACTTCGAAAGCTGTTAGGCCGTCTTGGAGATAAACCATCGTTGTTGGGTAACGACGAGGCCAATATCACCGCTTACGTTCGGGTAATCAGAGATTACACCGGAGTTTTATGGCACACGTTTCATAAGTGCGCATTCTCTTTGTCGACTACTCTGAGACGATCTCTAATGGCGCCAGCAGCTACGACTCAAAGAAAACGACCGGCTTCGTTGGTTTGAAAAACCTTGGCTCCACTGGGTACCTAAACGTTATACTGCAGTGTTTTTATTTTACGAACAAATTCCGCAAGGTAAGCCGGCCCAAGTTCCATGTGCAAGTCAAACATTGTTCATTTTAAGGGACACTAAGAGTCCGCACCCAGGCTACCTACCAGTTGCAACATGACGATAAATCAGGTGGAAACACTTTCTGTCGGCATTGCAACGCCTGTTCTACCATTTACAAACCAATGATCAGTCGGCGTCCCCACTGGAGCTCACCAGAGCACTTGGATGGGGCCCCCAACATCTTTTTATGCAACAAGATGTCCATGAGATGGCTCGGCTGCTCATGGATCGATTTTTGGAAGAACCTACTTTTTCGGGCATCTTTCGTGGCAAAACTAAGAGTTATGTTTCTCTTGACGGTGTCCAACAGTCAAAGATAGAAAACTTCTGGGATATCAGCATCAACGTCCAGAATATCCAATCCCTCGAAGCAAGCTTGACAGAATATATCCGCGAAAATGTTAGCGAAGAGCACAGAGCGAACGGTATTCAAAAAACTACTAGCGGCGTTATCCTTGAAACCTTGCCCGATGTTCTCCATCTCCATTTAAAGAGATATGCATATGACATGACCCAGCGCCAACTCGTGAAAGTCAATGATTTCTTCGCTTATCCAGAAGAATTTGATGCATCTCCATATCTTTCAGCCGACACCGATAGGTCTGAATCATGGGTTTACCGATTGACCGGTGTTGTTGTTCACAGTGGTGGTGTCTACCACGGCCGTTACTGGGTATTCTTACGCCCTGCAGCAAACATGCCTTTCTTTAAGTTTGACGATGAGCAGGTTACTCGTGCCATGCTAAGGAATGCCATTGAAGACAATTATGGAGGGGAAGGACGGGTTACGAATGCATATATGTTAATATATGTCCGCAAATCAAGGATTAATGATATCCTTGCTGATGTTACCACAGCGGACGTACCTGAATCTATAAGTAGGTGTTCGCTAGCCGCCTGCTCTGTTGTTCTCGACATTTCCAGTTGGACATTTTATCACTCTAACATGCATTTTACGAATGTAATAGGAAACGGATTTCTACAAGAACAGGAGGCAGCCGAGCGTCTGAAAAAGGAGCAGGAAGAGCAACACCTCTACTTGCAAATCACTCTGTCCTCAGTCACCCAGTTCCGTCTCCATGACGGCTTCGACTTGACCAGCCCTAACGTGGGTAATAGTGGCACAGCCACCCTACGCGTCCGTAAAGAAACATTGGTTAGCGAATTAATCCAAAAAGTCGCTGAGAAAATGGGATTGGGGCACGGGCAATGTACCCTATGGATCTGCATCAATCGCCAGAATGGAACACGCAGACCCCACGAACCCTTACTTCGCACTAACATTACCATGGAGCAGGCATACCTGGATGTAGGATTTGTCGGGCCCAACCCACATATATGGGTTGAGACGAGCCCCGCTGGCACAAGGATACCATCCCCTGTACCCCAAGCTACAGATGGAGGAGTCATGATCCTGATATTCATCAAAAATTTCGACGTGGTCAACCAGACTCTGTGCGGTGTCACATCCATCTACGTTCGGAAAGACAGCACAGTTCGCCCCCACATCCTCACAGTAATGCAATGGCCAGAGGATTCGAGATTTTCAGTTCATGAAGTAAGTATTCATCACGAACCTCTTTCCATGCTTCTTCTTTCCTATCTTTTTTTCACCCCACCATTAAATTGTTGATGGTTGATGGACAAAGCCAACACTGCTACCGAGCTCATAGGAAGTAAAACCTTCAATGATCCTCAACGTGGACCCTAATTCAACCTTCGAACGGGCTGAACTGGGAAATGGTGATATCCTCTGTGTTCAAAAGCTAGTGAAGCGCAGCGAGTAAGCATTATTTTGTTCTAACCTCCATTCCCCTTCATAGCGCCCAGTCGCTAATTCAAATTCTACCGTGCGGATAGGTACCCTCATAACCTGCTAGCCAAAGATGTTTCTCAGTACTTTGACAATCTCAGAAATGAGAGGAACAAACAGAAGTACACATAAGCACACCTAATTTCGCTTCACATAACTTCAGCGAGAGCAAAAACTGATATTTCCGGGGGAAATTGGTCGAATTATGTATGTTGTTGTGGGATTCGGAATTCACATTTTCCTACACTCATGCTTCCCCGCCTATAGGGAGAAAATGTTGCATATATATATTTCCAGAGTATGGGATTTAATTAAATACATTAACCCCCTTCCCTCCTCCATCTCTAGCAATTCCCCTTTCTTTCTTTTTCTTTTTTTTCGCATTTTTTGTTTAGGCTTTATTCTCATTATTTAAACTTGGCTGTTTCGCTTTCCATTTTCATCTTCGTCAATCGTCTCTATTATAGTCCCATCAGCGCCAACAATCGGGTCTCTGATGCCTGTGATCTTGGTGACAATGGCAGCACCGTAAAGATCTCCAGTGACATTAACCATAGTTCGAAAACGGTCCATAAACCAGTCAATGGCAGTGATCACTCCGTACATACCCGTCACCTGAACGTTGATGCTGTTGGCGATCATGATAATGAGAACAAGGGAGGCACTGGGGATTGGGGTGGTTCCTATCGATGCGAGCGTCGAAGTCAGGAACACTACCACGTACTGGCCAGGAGTGATGACCTGGCCCTGAGTCGCGGCGAGGAAAGTTACAGTTATTGGGAGGTATATGGCGGTTCTATAAGGGAAGGCGAAAGAAAGTGTAAGTTTACACACACGTATCGAAGGATGTGTTCATAGAGGAAATGTTACAAATGGCATTAGAAAAACATACCCGTCCATATTTACCAAGGTACCAAGCGGAATTGCAAACTTGGCGATAGTGTCTGGCACCCCACGAGCTTGAAGACATTTGAGTGTCACCGGCATTGTGCTGCGGACGATGCCGTGCCCCACGCGGTAATCCACGCCGGAGAATTGCGGAACCAGTATGTGAAAGGATTCCCCCTGATAACAGCAAAGTAGAGGATGGGGTATACAATAACCAGTTGAATGGCCATGCCGGAGAGACCAGCTCCTATCAACAGACCCAAATTGATGCCGACCTCCTTGATATCGAGCTTGAACAGGTTCGGCATGATCAGGAAGAAAATCCCAATCGGTGCCATGTTGATAAGGAAAGTGATGGCGACGGTGATGAGACCTTCAATCTCCCTTACGACCCGCAGGATCGACGAGGTGGCAGGGTCCTTAATCATATAGCCAAGAATAATGGACGCCACGAGAACACCAAGGAGGATGTTGTTTGCAAACGCGGCGACAATGTTGTCCGGCACAAGGGTGTCGAAGAGCTCGACGACAATATCATGCGCCTGGTAGGCGGAACGTGAGTCGATGTCTTTTTGCAGGTCCTTATCGACAGTGCGCGATTCAGGGTCGACCTCGGAAAACTGCTTGCTCCAGATCAATGCCACGAGGATTGTGCTGTGCATGATTGCGACCAGCGTGGTAAAAAGGTAGTATCCAATAGTCCAGCGAGCTAGAAGTGCTCCACCGCGCGACATCTCCCGCAGCCGCTGAACGGCCAGGATCAGAGAGACCACGATCAACGGTAGGACTAACGAGAAATCAGCAAAGATTCGACGAATAATGAAACAATTTCCTTTTTATTCGTTTTTCTTTTTCTTTTCTTTTCTTTTTTTTTTTTCACATTCATTTTTGTTGGATATTTAATTTTATTTGGCGAGGAGAGAGGGGGGACCACAGGATACATGTTGTTCTTGTGTATACCGCACTTACCAATAGCTTTGAGAGCGCGCAACCAGATTCGGCCAGGAATGCCGCAGAGATCGACAGCGGCAACAGGCACTTTGTCCACCGTTGTGTTCACAGCGAAACCGACCGCGATGGCGATGGCAGCAGAGATAAGAATCTGGTATACCGAGCCGGGCGTTTTCACTTTCTCCCACAGGGTTTTCTTTGGCTCTTCCACCCGCTCCATTGTCTCAACCACGCCAGGACTCTGGACGTGCTTCAGGGGCCGGGTCTTCTCTGTCGAGAGAGCTTCCTCCCTCAGGTCGTTGGACGACATTGCTACTGGGGTTTGATGGGAAGGCCTCGAAATGGGGCGGGGAAGTGTCTGCCAAAGAAGAGGGGAGGGATGTCGCCCGCAGGAGATGGGAGAAAGGAGCAGAACACAAAGGACCAGGGGATTTGGGGTGACTGCGGATCTTTATTTCCACCCCTCACTCCCAAATCTTACATAGTATGACAACAGGAATCAACTCCATCATAGCATCATGGCGAATGCCAGACTGAGCATGCCAAGCTTCGATTCGAAATTTGGGGCAGACCCCAGCATGATGGCTGGATACGGGGCCCTCAGCCAACAGTGCCAATCGTGCCAATCCTCTCGTGCGCAAAACACCCAAGCAGGAGAATGACATCTGTCCAGGGGTGGGACGCCAAGGCCCTTCTGCCAGACTCCGCACCTCAAACAAGGAAAAAGGGTGCGAGAGATGCTTCACAGAGCGGACCGAGTGAACACTGGGGGATCATCCCTCGTGTTCCAGGGAGAGGCCATAAGGAGATCCTCCGCCACCCTGCAGATGCTCGATGCAATGGATACGGTATTCATATCAAGGTATTTATATTGTTAGGGTTCCCAGGAGCGGAATAAATGTTTGACCTACCCACAAACGAACTACCAACAACGGAAAACGCAGGAATTCTATCAACCCTGAATTTTCCAACATAGGCATCCCAGGAATAATCCAGAGGTACCAATCAACTCAGGCGCCCACTAGACCGGCCGTGTTGGTGGTTATACCAATTCTCACTCGAGATTGACCGCCGAGCCGCTGGGCCTGCGCCAAGACGTTGCGCCGCTCGCATCTTGGCCGCAAGCCCCCCCGCAGCTCGGGCACCAGCTCATTGGCCGGGCTGAACATCGTCGCCTGGCTCTCACTTCTGCAGAGGAGGAGCGTGAGCTTCTTGCTGGGATCGTGCAGCACGAGGCAATCAGAATGGGAGACAGCAAGCAGTTCCTGGTTTGCTGCCGACGGAAACTCACCCTCGCTCATCCTCACCCCACACACCTGCAGAACATCAAAGATAGCAGCAGTAAGTTGGTATCTCATCAAGTGACACCGTGCTCTAGTAGAATAATGGTGAATACAATAAGCGTTATATTTTCGGGGGCAAAAGAAGCCGACCGGGCACTTCCTGCCGCAAAACAAGCCAAGCCGAACAATCAACCCCACAAACATCCCCGCCCATATCGACCAAGCAATATACAGGATTCATTAGTTATGTTTAACGCTCTCCTACTCAAGTCTCAGAAACGCCCCTCCACCCAACTCTTGCGCAGCCCAGGATGGTGGGCGGGGGTGGGGACCTCCGCCGATGCTTAAGGTTGGAGCGTCGCCCGTTGGCATTCCTGGTCTACTAGTAATAATGTTACATTTTCGCGGAGGCCCCGCCGTGCTGGATAAAGGTGAATATTCGCCCGTGAGCCACAAGCCCGCTACTAGGAAACATTAAACATATATGCATGTAAGTTAACCCCGACCGAGGCTGGGGCTGTGCTCACACAGCCGTTCAACGCTCGAATGGGGAAATGACATAGTTAACTATGCCTCTAACTAGTTAACTAGTTATGTACCGCTGCAAATATAATCAAGATTCATATCATCAAAGTAACTACCGTACAAAATGAAGATAACAAAAAGCAAGAGAAGACAAAAAAGACAAAAAACCCGGCACCTACATACATACATAAGGAACATTAGAGGCGAAAAACGGATAAATTATTTTCAATCAAGCATAATGCAGTACATAAATATTTACAGCAAGGACTGTACAAGCTGAACAACCCCATGAAGATGGAATAATTTTCAACATAAACCATTTTCAGTACTCAAATCACGGACATCAAATCAAAGGCAAACCAAAGCCAATCAGGGCCATTCAGGCAAACACAGCACGGAGGACATCAATAGATAGGAAATAATGCAATAACCATTTATATATATGTTAACACTTTTACAAATACACCGTCACACGCCGCCAATCTCATCGCACCGCCAGCCAATTCCGCCACTCGCACCGGCATCCCCCGGTGCCGCCATCAAATCCCCCTGCTGAGGAAGTACCCCTCGCGCTCCCACCAAGCAACGACCCCGGGTTGACCAGCTGGCCCCCGTACCCCCGATCCTCCACCTGCAGCGTCTTCGAAGATAACACGTACCGTTGCTCCAAATCGAGCTGGTAGCAGTAGACCATCTTGGACTTTGGATCGCCGCCGTGTCTGTCCAAGACGATGGTGATGGGGTAGGGGAAGGAGCCCGGGCGCGTGAAGTCTGTCGCGGCGGTGGGGAAGGGTGCTGCCGTGGGTGACTCGGGCGCGGGAGGAGAGGAAGAGCCCGGCGTTGGGGTTGGCGATGGCTGCAGCGGAATCAGGCCCATGCTATTCTGCGAAGGCTGCGTCCAGATCTGCACGAGGAACCGGGTCTGCGTCCAGGTGCAGCGGGTGCGAGCGGCGGAGCGCGTTGAGCCGCCGTTTTGGTCGTCGGGCGCTACGGCTAGAACGGAGTCGTTGGTCAGTGGCCTGTCGGCTTTGAGGAAAATGGAGCGGTCGAAGTAGGTGTAGAAGCCGTAGTGTTCGGTAGGGAGACCGCGGTCATACAGACGGATCGGCTGGGCGATAGGGAGCGGGAGGAGGTTTGCGGGTGCGGCAGTCCCGTCGGGGTTGTGCGCTGGGTCGGGGATGGCGTCCCGTAGGTCATCGGCGTCAGTGCCATGTGGTGGAGGGGTGTCTGCGCGCCGTTGGCGGGTAGATATTTTTATCGGCTCTGGAGAGAGGAAGGTTGCGAAAAACGGCGTATCTTCCCCCGCAAATGGTGCAGTTACTCCATCAGACGTGTTTCCCAGGAATGCCTGTTCTTCGAGTCCCGGTGGGGCAGGGATCGGAGACAATCCGCCGCTCCGTTCCTGCAGCGATCGACGACGGCTGGAGCCCAAATTATCCGGGAATGTGAAGGTCGATCGTTTCCTGTTTAAAGGGACTGTGCTATGAGAAAAGGTGCCGTTCTGGAAATTGATCTGAATCCTGAAGTTCGGTTGGTCCGGGTCATAGGGCTTGTTTGCATCCTGGTTTTCCTTTGGCAACGCACAGCTCCACATCGATGTTGGGCGTATGCACCCGGAGTTCGCGACGGCTGCATTTGGGCCCGCAATGGTTGAGACCCCAGTTGGCATGGGTGGATAGCCCGTCAGGTTCAACCAGCGTGACTCGGGTACATCATCACGCTTTCTCGTGAGGGTGATAGCGAGCACAACACTGACAATAATGATAATGATTAAAACAACTGCAATGCACATGTACCACCGGCGTCTCTTTCTGCCTTCTCGACCAGATCTACCAAAGCAGCCTCTGGTACTCAAACAGCCCCTGCCACGCCACAGGCCGCCGACCTTCCTAGCCATTCGGTCCTCGCGTTCTAACCTCTGACGCCTAGATTCGTTCTGTGCTCGTACATCCCCGGGCCTCTCGATGTCCGAGAGGTGGACAGGATTGTTTGGCAGACGGGGCGGTAAAACACCTCGCGGTAGAGGATCATTCCTGGCGTGGTACGTTGCTGCTGGGGGCTGCGGGGCCTGGGCTTGCCGCATACTGGACAGGAGTATTCCACCTCTCGACGCCATTTGTGTCTGTCCTTCGGGGGATAGAGGTCCTGGTGATTGAGGCTGCGGGTGCAAATCGGAAGGCAAGATAGCTCTATACCGCCGAACCTTTGTGACCTTGTTAGGCGGAGAGTAAGGCGGAGGTTGGGTGCTTGACGTTCCGACGCTTATACTTGGTGAGTTTTCAGTGATCTTGTGTGGGGGGGACACCCGTCGAGGGATCGGTGGCAGAGGTCCCGTTGGGCCAGTCTGGAAAGGCCCTATTGGCGCAGCTCTGAGAAAGGGAGTTACCGTAGCTTGGCGAACGTTGGGGGAAACATCCGGTTCGTCTTCGATCACAGTTGAATCAGAATTCGAGCGTTCCCTTGGCTCCGCTCCGCTCCGTATGCTCTCTACGAATCGTTGGAAAAATGGGTTGTTGGGATTTTGATTCTGGATTTGAACGTTCTCTCCAGGCACAGGTGGAAAAGCGGCGACGTTGCTGTTGCTAGAAAATCCAGTAAAATGGCTCGTAGACGGCAATGGTGGTGGTGGGCTTTGTTTTGTGGGAATAAAGTAGTTGTGTACACTCTGGTGAAATTGTTCCTGGGTATAGCCAGCGGAAGTAGGGCTGGAGATCATGAAGGGAATGGTCTGTGCAGAAACTGTGGAAATGTGAGAAGACTTGTTCCTCGATTTCCATGAAGACGGCTGTGAGCAATCATCATCGTCCCACTCATCATCATCAGAGCTGGATCCTTCACGTTCACCACTCGGTTTGCCAACAGTGCCTGCGGCAGATGCCCAAACGCTCTCTTTCTCCTCACCGCTATACGGGGTATCTGGTGAAAAGAAAGAAACTTCCTCGCCGAACTGTTTCTCCCCGTACTTATTATTATTGTTGTTATTAACGTGAACTTGCAGCTGCTGTGAAACAGCAAACGGAAACGGGGGGATAGCCGGCGGTGTTTCATCTTGGGGTGACCTTAAACTCATTTTACTGGCGATGGTGTTTGATCTTGACAGGAGCGGGGAGAGCAACAAGTTCCACCACCCTTGCGACCGCGGTCTTGTAGCGATGGTGTCCATGCTGTATCTGCTGGGTATCCCCGCCTGCAGTTTACTTTCATCCGACAAAGATCGCGGACGACCCGTCCGTCGACAGTCCGGCGAGTCATCTTCGAAAACTGTCCCCACAGAAAAAGCACGATTTCTTCGCGCAGGGGTTGAAACTTGGTCGTCAAATACCTCACGAGCCTCAGCGGGTTTTGTGAAGGAATGTGAGGCAGGAATGGCAGGGACCGGTGGGATTATCGACAGTGGGCGTCCATCTTTCACCCGCGGCGTCGGTTGAGAATAGACGCTCGACGGAGGTCGTGTTCGGCGTGCTTCCGGGCTTCCACTGCTAAAGGTATCCCAAGGATTATCCTCTCTCGCGGGCGTGATGATGATGGTCGGGGTAATCGGCGTAGTATTTGTGCTTCTTTGGCTGTTTGGGGTCCCAACGTTGTTCTTAGCCGGAGTGCTGTCACCCGCGAGCTTTTTTGTTTTTCCCGGGCTAGCGGCGTCGCGGTATGGAACACTCAGTCCAATCATAATAGGGCGGTCGGAGGGCGATAAATCCTGCGTTTTGCTAGGAGAAACCCGCAAGGCATCCAGGGGAGATTTCTTCATTTGCTTAACAAAGGAAGTGGCCTGCACGCCCTGTGAGGTATCTTCAACATCGTCTTTGATCTCCCCATAACCCCTTGTTGACGACAGTTTCCGTTCCGGCAGCAGTCTGTTCGCAGGTGCTGGCCTAGCAGAAGTTTCTTTCCCCTTCGAGAGAAACCTCAGGTCATTCAGGTCAATATATCCTCTCCCACCAGCCGACTGCCGACGCTTCGACACCGCATCCCGTCTATACTTCGTATCATTGGAAAAGTTCGTGACGAGGTTGAGCCCAGGGCGCGTTTTCTTGTTCGTTGCGGCCTCCTTAGGGTTTCGTTTCATGATAGTTCGACCGGGACGTTTAATGGAATCCCAACGGCTGGGACGGGGGGCTTGAGAGTTTTCGCCAAGAAGCTTCTCTTTATCCTCCGTTTGGCCAACAAACCGTTTCGCATTGCTGGCTTCAAAACGAGTTTGTCCCAGAGTAAAATAGTCCTCGGACCAGGAAGAAGGGTTTTCTTTGTCCTGTGCTGGTGCTGCCGCTGCCAATTGCGAACTGTCGGGTGATTCGAAAGGGGTGTAGATTTCTTCTTTTATAGGAGAAGACAATGGGAACGTGGGGATATTTTGTGCACGAAGGTACGAAGCGGCCATCGGCGGGACCTCGTACTGCGCATTATAGTCATTCATCTTGCTAAGTCATAAAACGACAGATCGGCTAAAAAGGTTGCGCTTTGAAGTCAATATATGTCGGATGAAAAACGGCCCATACAAGAAGGAGGGGCTTACCATAGATACCAGTATAAAAAACATCCAGCTCCAGGGTCAAAATCAGAGGCGTTCGTAACACATGCAAAAGTAGAAGCGAATCATCAAGCTGACATTGTACAGGATTTCCTCAAAAGTTAGATATCCTCACAAAGAGATATGAGGAGAACAACAGCAAACAATAGAAGTGAATGTCCACTGTTTACTTATTGAAAAATGAGTTTCTGTCAGGGCAGGTCAAAAGAGAAGTCTTGTTGCCGGTGAAACAGAAAACTGGACAACAACATCTATTGAATGAATACTAGTAATGAATAAAAAGAAAGAGTGCAAATGCCCAAAAATGAATGAAAGAGACCCAGTGAATGAGATTCCCTGAACCTATGATGGTGTTTGATACTTGATGCAATGAAGAAGACAAAACAAACAGCCTTTTTAACAAAACCAGACAAATATAAAGAGTGTCATGTGAGAGTAAGAAGGGAAAAGAAAGACAGACAGAGAGAGA